AACTAACTTCAAACGTGTAAATGGTTAAGATTCAGTAAAAATATATATTTTTCTTTTTTGCTTCAGTCAAAAGTATACAAACCAGGTTGCTTAGACTGTGATATAGTGACCACACCTCCCTGGGCAGCTCCTTGAGGAATAATATTAATAGTTCCCTGTGGTGTCTGTATCACTCCTAGTGCTTGCTGACCTTTACCTGCAAGCTGTAAGATTTGACCTTTAGCATGAGCCAATGGTTTTCCTTGTAACTGGACAGGTTTGCCAGGTGATACTTGTTGCAAAACGTTTCCACCTGAAAAATACATGCCAAATTTAGCAAAAGAAAACAAAACAGTAGTCATTCACTTGAGATTCATTGCTAGAAGAGGTCATAACTCTTCAATGCAAGTCATGGAATTACAATTTGTCTCTGGGCATTACAGTTTCTGAAGAAAACTTTTATTTCAAGATAGAAGTCTTGTCTATTTTTTGCCCTTGTGACCAAGAGACCATTCTAATGAAGTATTGTCAATATCTATCATGCGGTTAAGGAGATGTTGTTTAAAAAAATTATTAAAATGAAGCACACCTGTCATCCTGCTATCACAAAATAACTCCTATTTTCAGACATTGTGCATACAAAACAAAATTATATACTCTTTCTTACAAGAGGAAGTAGTGGTCATTTGTTAGTGTGATAAGTTTACAAGCAATTTGTCAATGAGGTCAGTAAAAAAGGTGCAATAGCGATACGGAGATTTGTACAAGTAGAACATCTTCTCATTATAGTCATGTACAAAAATAATCCTTCCTGACAGCATGTCTATATCAGTGAAGCATTATTATCAAGTTAAGTATTGTGGTTTAATAATACTAAGTAGGCAAGTAAGAAATATTGAATGTGAGAGACTACAAAACCAAGTATGCAGACACAAAAAAAAATCTTCAGTAAATATGACAAAAAACTGTTTATCAGTAAAAAATTTAAATACATGTAATTCAATTACCCATGATTAATCTATATCTAATACTAACATATTTATACAACTTTAACAATATTTTTCGTATTGATACACATATTGTATAATGAGACATTTAAACAGCTGTTATTTGACTTAATTTGAGTGGGTTTTTTTACTTGTTTGAGTGTATGTTTTTTAATTATCTATTTTATGTGTGTTTGTACGGTTAGGGGAAGAAGGTAAAGGAAGGGATAATGGAATTACATATTTTGTTAGACTGAAACTTCTAAAGAGTAAAATCATTGCAACGTTTCATGTACCTTGAATTTTAAAGGCAGCCGTCCCTCTGGGCTGGTTCCCTTGTTGAAGTGATCTCTGAGCAGCAAGCAGACTGCTAACTGACACCATTTGACCTCCAGCTAGAAACAGAACAAAAACATATTATCAATCATACACTTAACCTTAAAATACTAGAAAGAAAAGTTGCATAACTCCAGAAAAAAACGCTTTTAGACTAGTGTCCCTTCTTTGACAACTACCCCTTTGCCATTACATGAATTATAAAGTGATATGAAGTGTCCATGCTGTTCGCTATCAGTTTCTCTACTTGTTATAGGGTTTGTAAGCGAACAGCATGGATCCTGATCAGACTGTCGCAAACCCACTATATTGTTTTGTCATAATGTTGCTTACATGAATAACAAGAGCCTGGTTTGAGCCGGGTGATGCTCCCCGAATAGGTTTTGGACACAGGAAAGTACACCTCTTGTAGATTCTGAGTTATGTCCCTGGAAAAAGTTCAAAGTGCAATAATTCCAAAATTAGGAAAGGCAGAGTTACTGTTCTTTCCACTGCACTTCTAATCACTGTTATCTATCAACTTACAAAGTTTCATGTTGATATCTCTTATAGTTTTACAGCTATGTCCAGTACAAGATTTTTCTAAAAGGGGAGATAATTCAAAAATGAGGCTTAACAGAGTTATGGTTTTTTTGCACTGCACTTCTACTCAATGAGATCTATCTACCTACAATGTTTCATCTTGATATCTCTTATAATTTTAGAGTTATGTTCCGGACAAAGTTCAGTGTTAAAATTAACAAAGGGCAATAACTCCAAAATTAGGACAAAAAGAATTATTGTTCTTATGCACTGCACATCCACCCATTGAGATATATTCACCTACAAAGTTTCATGTTGATATCTCTTATAGTTTAAGAGTTATGCCCCGGACAAGATTTTTCTATAAGGGGAGATAATTCAAAAATGAGGCTTAACAGAGTTATGGTTCTTTTGCACTGCACTTCTACTCAATGAGATCTATCTACCTACAATGTTTCATCTTGATATCTTTTATAGTTTAAGAGTTATGTTCCGGACAAAGTTCAAAGTGTTGAAATTAACAAAGGACAATAACTCCAAAATTAGGACAAAAAGAGTTATTGGTCTTATGCACTGCACATCTACCCATTGAGATCTATTCACCTACAAAGTTTCATGTTGATATCTCTTATAGTTTTAGAGTTATGGGAGATAATTCAAAAACCGGGCAAATGTAGTTATGGTTCTTTGACACTGCATTCCCCCTCAATGCCCTCTACCACTGTATGAAGTTTAAACAAATTATCTCCAAAGGTTTTCAAGTTATGCTCCGGACAAGAAAACGGACGGACAGACGGACGGACAGACGGACAAGGCGCCGACTATATGCTCCCCCGAAATTTTTCGGGGAGCATAATAAAGAGTTATGAAGTGTTTGTATAGATGCCATTAAAAGTGTAATGAGTCTTTGGCTACATTAAAGTTTTTGCACAACGACAACAATGACATCCACCCGCCCAGTGATCAAAATATCTCAAATTTTTCTTCAAAAACAGACAAGCTAATACTAAATGTTTATATTAGACAAACACTTTTTCTTGAAAAAGTAGGACACCTTAGCTCATCATTAATTAAGATATTGTCACCTCAGTGCAGTAACAGGATAACTCTTGATAAATTAAATAGGAGTTAACCTGTAACTGCACTAAGGTGACAAATTATGGGGCTAGTTATCTTATGTGTCAAGAAGGCAACAAACCTAGATGGTCTTTATGGTGAAACCGTTACATCCAATGGTAATACATGAATACATCGTAAATTAATCATGTTAAAATATTGGACAAAATTACAATGTACTTCGTTTACAAAATGACTGTCTTCTTAAATGTATGTGAAATGTCTTAAAACTAGATGCAGAAAACTGTCTTTCTTATGGTGGAAACAACTGGGCATGTCAAATAAAACATATTTTGAAATAGGAATGTCGAATATATGTATTAATCAAGAACATATAACAATCAATTTTCGGCAAATTAAGAACAGAATAATGGACATTTACAAGCAAGAATGGTATAGCAGTATTAGAAAATCTATTAGGCTGTGTCATCATACAGTACCTATAAATGCTCTTTTGAAAGTAAAGAATATCTTAATAAAGTAAATATTAACAAATTTCGAATATCACCCAAATTTAGATTGTCATCTCATAATCTAGCAATAGAAACTGGGTCATACGAAAACGTAGCACAAGAAAACAGACTCTGTATGAATTGCAATTTAAACATGGTAAAAATTGAATTTTACTGTTTGCATGTTTGTACAAAATACTATAGTCAAGTCGCAAATACTTAAAACCATACTTATGTCACTGGCCATCAATTCATAAATTTGAAAAACAAACATGCAAATGTTGAGTACTTTGTCAAAATTTTTGTATTTTTCATTTAAAGAAAGAATGAACAACAGATAGTATCTTCAACTTATTCACATTTTGAAGCACCAAGAACTTTCTCTGTAAAACATTTTAACTTTCGGTACTAACCTGACATTTGCTACATCAGTGTAGCTACATATTTTGACCTACCGGGTACTAACCTGACATTTGCTGCATCAATCTAGCTACAAGGGGGTTTGTACCAGCTTGCATTGAGCTGATCACTGTTACTGGGCTACCAACACTTGGACTTGCTGCCATGGTAACCATCTTACTTGCTGTAGTGATGACCTGAACTGCTGGTGAACTATCATCAGTGTTTCCAGTAGATGTCTGCCGAAAGGCCTACAAAATATGAAGGTATTGTCACTTTTTCCTCCTTTTTTTAAAGTATCAAAGTACTTTTTTCTTGTTATTATTGAAGATATCACAGGTTTTATTTATAGTACTATTTGTTTCTAAAGATGTATAATCTATGTATTATTAACTCAATAAAAAAAGATGCTGAAACATTGGCACATATACTTTTGTACTGAAGCGTCAAACTCATTAACTCCAGTTTACAAACACAAATAAATGAAACACATTAACACATAAAGCCAAAAACTCAATTTCTTGACACAGTTGTTATAGGTTGGGTTTATACAAATTGAGATAGTTATGCCATGCTGAATTCTTAATCAAACAAAATGTCTTAGAGTATTGAAAACAAAAGTATTAAGCATGAAGTCCATTTTACTGAATCTATGACAAAGACAATAATTTGTGAAACATTTTTTAAATCCCATGACTTACGCAAGTTTCTATCACCTAAACTATAAAAATTGAGATTTATGACCCAAAAAGACTTCAAGAATATCTCAACATAATGAATAAGAAGACATCCTTTTTTACAGTTGCCTAGCTACTGATTTGAGTAAGATGTAGTTAACACCTTTAGACTGATCATACCTGTAACTGTGAAAGATGTAGTTAACACCTTTAGACTGATCATACCTGTAACTGTGAAAGATGTAGTTAACACCTTTAGACTGATCATACCTGTAACTGTGAAAGATGTAGTTAACACCTTTAGACTGATCATACCTGTAACTGTGAAAGATGTAGTTAACACCTTTAGACTGATCATACCTGTAACTGTGAAAGATGTAGTTAACACCTTTAGACTGATCATAAACTGTAACTGTGAAAGATGTAATTAACGCCTTTAAACTGATCATACCTGTAACTGTGAAAGATGTAGTTAACACCTTTAGACTGATCATAAACTGTAACTGTGAAAGATGTAATTAACACCTTTAAACTGATCATACCTGTAACTGTGAAAGATGTAGTTAACACCTTTAGACTGATCATACCTGTAACTGTGAAAGATGTAGTTAACACCTTTAGACTGATCATACCTGTAACTGTGAAAGATGTAGTTAACACCTTTAGACTGATCATACCTGTAACTGTGAAAGATGTAGTTAACACCTTTAGACTGATCATACCTGTAACTGTGAAAGATGTAGTTAACACCTTTAGACTGATCATAACTGTAACTGTGAAAGATGTAGTTAAGACCTTTAGACTGATCATACCTGTAACTGTGAAAGATGTAGTCAACACCTTTAGACTGATCATACCTGTAACTGTGTAAGATGTAGTCAACACCTTTAGACTGATCATACCTGTTTCTGTGAAAGATGTAGTTAACATCTTTAGACTGATAATAACTATAACTGTGAAAGATGCAGTTAACACCTTTAGACAGATCATACCTGTTTCTGTGAAAGATGTAGTTAACACCTTTAGACTGATCATAACTGTAACTGTGAAAGATGTAGTTAAGACCTTTAGACTGATCATACCTTTTAACTGTGAAAGATGTAGTTAACACCTTTAGACTGATCATACCTGTTTCTGTGAAAGATGTAGTTAACATCTTTAGACTGATAATAACTATAACTGTGAAAGATGCAGTTAATACCTTTAGACTGATCATACCTGTTTCTGTGAAAGATGTAGTTAACACCTTTAGACTGATCATACCTGTAACTGTTAAAGATGTAGTTAACATCTTTAGACTGATCATAACTGTAACTGTGAAAGATGTAGTTAAGACCTTTAGACTGATCATACCTTTTAACTGTGAAAGATGTAGTTAACACCTTTAGACTGATCATACCTGTAACTGTGAAAGATGTAGTTAACACCTTTAGACTGATCATACCTGTAACTGTGAAAGATGTAGTTAACACCTTTAGACTGATCATACCTGTAACTGTGAAAGATGTAGTTAACACCTTTAGACTGATCATAACTGTAACTGTGAAAGATGTAGTTAAGACCTTTAGACTGATCATACCTTTTAACTGTGAAAGATGTAGTTAACACCTTTAGACTGATCATAACTGTAACTGTGAAAGATGTAGTTAACACCTTTAGACTGATCATACCTTTTAACTGTGAAAGATGTAGTTAACACCTTTAAACTGATCATACCTGTAACTCTGGCTTTGTTTGAATAGTGACATTTGGAGGGACAGCTCCTTTCACCAGTGAAGCAATAGATGTAGTTTGTGGGATGACCTTCACTTGACCTTGTTGGTTGATAGCAATATTCTGCTGTATTTTCTGGGCTAGATCTAATTTTGGTGATGCTCCTAAAATACATTTACATAATACAATCCTATTAATCAGTGAAAAGTTACCTAAAATTTTGGTATAAAATTCTCCAGCTACAGGCCTATAAACAAAATTTTCATAAAAAGAGACCAATTAATTTCATTTTCTATCTTGTTCATTAATTTGATCTAACAAATTTATGTTTGATATATTCAGTTTAACATCATATGTCAAACACTCATTTTTTTCCACATATAATTATAGTTTAATACATTTATAGACTCCGTGATTTAGCTGACATTGACAAATAAACTTGGGTATTAATCTGCGAATAAAAACAATTAAGTTCCTTACCTTTGTGTCCCTTTCCCACAGCCTGTGCCTGCGCCTGGGCTTTAGCAGCCTGAGCCTCGGCTTGAGCCTTCACATGGGCTGCCTGGGCAGCTGCAGCCTGCTGTAGCAACTGTAACTGGGCTGGGGTCAGAGACTGGGTCACACCAGCTGTTTTACTCGCCACAGATGACTAAAACAAAGGAAAAAGTTATCATATTAAGGAAATAATCAGGATACTTTACACTAATATTTCATCCTGATGAAGGTCTATATATAAGATCAGAACCAGTTGATAAAATAAAACATCTTGTCCATTTTACACTGGTGTGTTGTACCTTCTCCCGTTTTAATCTTCCAAAAGTATTAATTTTCAGTTTTGTTTTCTCTAAGGTTTAACATAAGTTCATTACTATATATATAAAACAGCTAATTTGATCCCACAACTGTTTCTGAACTTTCAACCCAATGAATGTTGATGAAACATGCCTTCCATTCAACTACTTGCACTTAGACAGATGGGTAGAAAATTTGACTACCCTTTAGACTATAAGGATCTTACACCGGCTTCCGGTACAGACTGAAATATTTAGCTAGAGGGTAACTGTTTACAGTGGTAATGGGACTTGACAGAGTTTCCACTTAAGAGTCAAAAGAGATAGATTTTCCAGTCTGTGAAAATAGCCGGTGTTTGATTTTTTTTTCTTTTTGCATATTAAATATTAATCACATTTCAGAAAAAAACTAGAACTGCCACTGTCATGGCATGAATACCCCCGCATACCACTTTGTCAGAATCAACAGTGGCCATTTAGAACTCAAGGACAATCTCCCTGCCAAATCTTAGGTTACTAAGCCAGTGCATTGCTAAGTTATGTATTCTACATGCTTCAAATGTGAAAATGTCAAAATCAATACACTCTGGACAGGCATTCTGAAGCAATTGAGGGGAAAAGCTTTTTGACAAGGTCCCTGTGACCTTGACCTTTGACCAGGTGACCTCAAAATCAATAGGGGTCATCTACTAATCATGACTAACCTCCATGCCAAATATGAAGACTGTGGGTCAAAGGAATCTTAAGTTATTGGACGGACAAGCTTTTGGAAGTCAAGGCCCCTGTGACCTTGACCTTTGACCCACTGACCTCAAAATCAAAAGGGGTCATCTACTAATCATGACTAATCTTCATGCCAAATATGAAGACTGTGGGTCAGAGGAATCTTAAGTTATTGGGCGGACAAGCTTTTTGAAGTCAATGCCCCTGTGACCTTCACCTTTGACCTGGTGACCTCAAAATCTATAAGGGTCATCTACTAATCATGACTAACCTCAGTGCCAAATATGAAAACTATGGGTCATAGGAATCTTAAGTTATTGGGCGAACAAGCTTTTTGAAGTCAAGGCCCCTGTGACCTTGACCTTTGACCTGGTGACCTCAAAATCGATAGGGGTCATCTACTAATAATGACTAACCTCCATGCCAAATATAAAGACTGTCGGTCAAAGGAATCTTAACTTATTGGGCAGACAAACTTTTGAAGTCAAGGCTCCTGTGACCTTGGCCTTTGACCTGGTGACCTCAAAATCAATAGTGGTTATCTACTTATCATGACTAACCTCCATGCCAAATATGAAGACTGTGGGTCATAGGAATCTTAAGTTACTGGGCGGACAAACTTTCTGAGGTCAATGCCCCTGTGACCTTGACCTTTGGCCTCAAAATCAATAGGGGTCATATACTTATCATGACTAACCTCCATGCCAAATATGAAGACTGTTGGTCATAGGAATCTTAAGTTACTGGGCGGACAAACTTTCTGAAGTCAATGCCCCTGTGACCTTGACCTTTGGCCTGGTGACCTAAAAATCAATAGGGGTCATCTACTTGTCATGACTAACCTCCATGCCAAATATGAAGACTGTGGGTCAAAGGAATCTTCTGTTACTGGGCAGACAAGCTTTTTGAAGTCAATGCCCCTGTGACCTTGACCTTTGGCCTGGTGACCTCAAAATCAATAGGGGTCATCTACTAGTCATGACTAACCTCCATGCCAAATATGAAGACTGTGGGTCAAAGGAATCTAAAGTAATTGGGCGGACAAGCTTTTTGAAGTCAAGGCCCCTGTGACCTTGACCTTTGACCTGGTGACCTCAAAATCAATAGGCGTCATCTACTAATCATGACTAACCTCCATGCCAAATATGAAGACTGTTGGTCAAAGGAATCTTAAGTTATTAGGCGGACAAGCTTTTTGATGTCAAGGCCCCTGTGACCTTAACCTTTGACCTGGTGACCTCAAAATCAATAGGGGTCATCTACTAATCATGACTAACCTCCATGCCAAATATGAAGATTGTTGGTCAAAGGAATCTTAAGTTATTGGGCGGACAAGCTTTTTGAAGTCAAGGACCCTGTGACCTTGACCTTTGACCTCAAAATCAATAGGGGTCATCTACTAATCATGACTAACCTCCATGCCAAATATGAAGACTGTTGGTCAAAGGAATCTTAAGTTATTGGGCGGACAAGCTTTTTGATGTCAAGGCCCCCGTGGCCTTGACCTTTGACCTGGTGACCTCAAAATCAATAGGGTCTTCTACTAATCATGACTTACCTCCATGCCAAAAATGAAAAAAACAACGGACGGCATGATGGACGGAGAGCCCGACGGACAAGCTGATCCCAGTATACCCCCTTTACAACTTTGTTGTGCGGGGGTTTAATTACAAAAAATAATATTTTTATGTAGCACTTTTTTCTTAAAGTAATGTATGAATTAACAACTTCATTCATAACAGCAAAATATGTCATTCTAAGAAGGCAATTAGTTCATGTACATGTAAAACAGTACATTATTGTTTAGACCATATGAAACCATGGTATTTAATGTATGCATAACTAGAACTATCACTAAATGTGATAAATACCCCCGCAAGACAGCTTCAGAAATGAGGATATTACTAGTAACAGAATACCTTGTAAAAGAATTAAAATAGAGATATGGTTGTGGGCAAATAAAGATAGTTGTGGTTCTTGTATATTGCATTTCCTTTCAATGTGGTTGGCCATTGACTTACTCTTTAATTAGTCCAGAAAGACAAGGAAAAGGAACAAAGGGCAATAACTCTATTAATACTGAGTATGGAGTTAGGGTTACTGTGCATTGCACTTCCTCTCATTGTGCTTGACCATTGTATGAAGTTGTATTGAATTCCAACTACCAGTTATCAAGTTATGCACTGGACAAAAAAGTAACAAAGGGCAATAACTGTAATTTGTCCAAATAGAGTTATGGTTCTTGTGCACTGCACTTCATCTCACTGCCCTTGATCATTGTATAAAGTTTCATGGAATTCCAACCATTAATTTTCAAGTTATGCACTGGACAATAAAAAGTAACAAAGGGCAAAAACTTTTAAATAAGTCAAGAAAAGAGTTATAAATTCTGTGCACTGCACTTCCTCTCAATATACTTGACCATTGTATGAAATTGTATTGAATTCCAACTAGCAGTTTTCAAGTTATGCTCTGGACAAGAAAAAAGCAATGGAAAAGTAACAAAGGGCAATAACTCTATAATTACTCTGGACAGAGTTATAGTTCTTATGCACTGCGATTCCTCCTATTGTGCTTGACCATTGTATGAAGTTGTTTTGAATTCCAACCAGTATGTTTATGTTATGCTCCGGACAAGGTTAAGTATCAAAGGGCAATAACTCTGAAATTTGTCAAAATGGAGTTATGGTTCTTGTGCACTTCACTTCCTCTTCAATGTGCTTGACAATTGTATGAAGTTGTATTGAATTCCAACAAGCAGTTTTCAAGTTATGCTCCGGACAAGGAAAAGTAACAAAGGGCAATCACTCTGTAATTAGTCAAGATGGATTTATGGTTCGTATGCACTGCACTTCCTCTCAATGTGCTTAACCATTATATGAAGTTATATTGAATTCCAACTATTAATCTTCAAGTTATGGTCTGGACAAAAGAAAGCAATGGAAAAATAACAAAGGGCAATAACTCTGTAATTACTTTAGATAGAGTTATGGTTCTTGTGCACTGCGCTTCCCCTTATTGTGCTTGACAAGTGTATGAAGTTGTTCTGAATTCCAACCAGTTGTTTTCAAGTTATGCTCCGGACAAGGAAAAGTAACAAAGGGCAATAACTCTGTAATTAGTCAAGATGGAGCTATGGTTCTTGTGCACTGCACTTCCTCTCAATGTGCTTGACCATTATATGAAGTTATATTGAATTCCAACTATTAGTCTTCAAGTTATGCTCCGGACAAGGAAAATGCAACGGACCGCTGGACCGACCGACGGACCTACCGACCTCCGGGTGACTCCTATATACCCCCCAAACTACCTTTCTGGGGTATAAAAATAGGATTCTTTACATAAACAGTGAGTCCAAGTTGTTTTGTATAACATCTATATATAGGTAATGGTGATCAGTCTATTATAAACAATCTGATGATACATATCTGATCACTACATGAAGAACTGAATTTACATATATGAGCCGCGTAACGACAAAACCAACATAATGGGTTTGCGACCAGCATGGATCCAGACTAGCCTGCGCATCCGCACAGTCTGATCAGGATCCATGCTGTTAGCTTACAAACTCTATAACAAGTTGAGAAACTGATAGCGAACATCATGCATGATCAGACTGCGCGGATTCGCAGGCTGGTCTGGATCCATGCTGGGCGCAAACCAATTATGTTGGTTTTGTCATGATGCGGCTCAAATAAACATTACATGATATAATTTGATTAGTTTGACCTTTGCATTACAACCTTTAAATTTTATAAGGTAAATTATATATCAATGTAGTGATACTTTATTAAGCAAAAATATATCTCAAACTGTGATTTTATTGCTCAATAACATCACTGTTTGGAGTTCGGATGCGGGGAATTATATCACGAGGGCGTAGCCCGAGTGATATATTGATGCGCATCCTAACGACAAACAGTGATGTTATCAAGCTATAAAATCACTGATTTGGATATATTATTTCGATTCTAACACGACATCAACAAATAAATGCTGCCCATACATGATAATTAGCTAAATTACGCCTGATTTGTGTCCGTACTTAATGTCAGAGCGTCACATTTTTAGTGGTTACGTCACGTGTATAATGATTACATCACATGTCTAAATATAGAACGTCAAACAGTGATTTTATAAAATAATAACACACACTTTCGGTTCTTCTATGTTCAATAGGGAAAAATGCGGGTCGTGTTAGAATGTATAGTATACCATCATTTTTTAAATCATAACAACAACTTGTTTAATGATTCTATTATTTGTAAACGAATCCTGTAATTGTATGTAAGTTTATAAGACTAAATAGATAGGAACTCTAATTGTCAGGAAGCTATCCAGCTAGCTTACGAAATGTCAGTGGTTCTTGGATGCCCCATCTAGCTGAAATAATACATGGAGGAAGCACCTGATATCTTCTACTACCAGTAAAAAGTGGAAAGTACCTACATGACCACTACTGTGTTCGTGCATCGTAAACCAAAAATAGAGAGAAAAAAAAATCCCCAAAGAAAGCCCAATACGGCAAAATTGAAAATGTTGCAGGCTTGGTTTAATTGAGCATGCTCATGGACGGTGCTGTCAAGTGAAAAATACCGTCCACGCCCCCTAGCACTGGCTTAAGCGGAATTCAACATTTAACATGAACTGGTACGATACGAAAACATTCGCAGATGTGTTCATATGGCGGTTATCATGGAACCTTCAATGTGACACGTAAGTGCTATTCCATGAAATGCGGCATATGGTCCCCAAGTAAAAAAAAAGCGATCCTAACTTGCTATGGAAATATCTTACTTTATAAGGCAAAAGTAAGATGAATTTTTTATGGATAGTTTATTACTCTAAATGTTTATAAATCTCTATTATAAATTTCATATTTGTGTGATTCTCTGAACAGACTTTTAATGGCAAATAAAAATAAGTGCTTCTTGCTCCTAGACTATTCTCAGTCCATGTTTGTAAACAAGAGTCAATTCTCCTTAGTTGCAGTCTTAATTTGGAGCTATTATTTACCTTATAATTAATCATAATGATAATAATAATAATAACAATAAAATAAGCTAGATAATAAAACAACTATTCAACTTTATGTAAAATAAACTTCCATGTTCTTTGGTTTCTTTTATGTTTCTTAAGTTACTTAGATTACAGGTAACAAATTCAGGAGGTTTTTTTTTAAAGATTTTATCAAAAGTTTCATGATTTATTAAAAAATTTGATATTTTCCTTTTTTTCCAAATCACTAACATCCAGTATCTCAATCTTATAGGGAAGATATTTAAACAGGGATTAAAAAGGAGAGAAAAAAATCTTTCTTTGAACATTAAATAAATCTGACTGTAAATTACCATACAGTAGATTTCACAGAGAAATAATGAAAAGCAGTCTTGCTGTTTAAAGTCTTCAGTGAATTATTTCGATATTAATGCTTGTGTGAACATGTGAGTATAATAATTCTATTCTTATCTTTTATAAACTTTATCAGTTTAACATTTTAGTATGTTTCACAGTTTGTTTGCAATAAAAAAATTCAATGATTTCTGCTTTATTAAAGGGAGGTATTTTTTTTTAAAGAAATCTTATTTTACAAGTATTCCATCATAAAATAACAAAAGGCTTAACTGAAAAACACACTTTCTTTATTATGACAGCATTAAAGATCAATATCATTTTTCATTATGAAATTAAGGGAACCGCAAATGGGGGGGGGGGGGTGATAAACGCCTGAATGAAAATAATCTTTTTATGAGGAAAGAGACCCATTTAAGAAGTCCTACATGCCAAATATCTTAGCTTTGGGCATTTATGAATAACACAAATAAATTAGATGTTACTTTAGTCTCCATAACACAAAAAAATTAGATGTACCTTAAGTTTCCATAGGGCAAGTGACCCCCAGGGCAGAGCCAACATTGACCTCAAAGTCATGATTAATATCAATTTTGTAGAAGAGTATAAATTGATGCTTCATGCCAAATATCCAAATATCTATGCTCTTGGCTTTGTAGCTTTTGTAGCATATCCCTTAGTATATAAGTGTATATAAATCAAATGACCCCCTCCCCCAGGGGCAGGATTTAATTTTTGGGATTAATTTTGATCTGAAAAAAAAAAACCTGTGTTCTGCATTCCGTGTCATTATAAGATGCATTTCTGCTAAATAATGTTAATTTCCTTTAAATGATACAGAGGAGACACAAAATTTTGAAACTGATACATAATGGCTAAGTGAGACCTTGACCTGAGGAAGGTCAAACCTTCGCTCTGCACATCATCTCGTTATGGTTAACATTTCTCCCATTTAGTTTCAATTTCCTCCCATCCTTTCAAAAGATACAAAGCAAACAGGAGATTACTGACAAAAAGATGTGCAAAACATCATATGCTGTTGTTTTTTTTGTTATTTATTTTTTTTGCATAATAATTATAAAATCTAATAAAAAAAGTCCAATATAATTTTGCTCTGAATAAAATTTTCATTTTATGGTTGAGTTGTACATGTAAGTGACACTGATATTGTTAGAATCATATAAAAACTTTCCAGCTTTTCTGGGGAATAATAAGTTCCAATTTCCTTGCATACTGTACCTAAGTAGAACCTGTGACTTTATCAAATACGAAATATCAAGGATTATAAGTTGACATTCCCATGGAATATCAACATTAAAGCAATGTATAGTGAATGTCCTATTTTCAAGTTAAATTCTATATATTTAAGTTGTCCTCTATCTGTAAGTTGAACTCTTTGCATGTTGTTCAAATTGAAAAAAACTTTCTTAAGAACATGACTTTTGCAATCGTGCCTAATTACAGTCGACTCCACTTATAACGAACTCTCTTATAACGAATCATCGGTAATAACAAACCAAATCTTCTATCCCCAGCTGATTCCTTCTTTATTTTATAATAAATACCATCGCTTAATATGTACTCCCTTAAAACAAATTTTCGGCTATAGCAAACCATATTTCCAAGTACCAAATGGTAAAAACTATGTAAATTTCCTCAGTTAAAACAAACTGTTATAATTGAAATATCCGGATGCGCTCGATTAAGATCAGTTCATGAATAGCGCTATCCGATTATTATTCAATCCAGTGATTGGACATGTATTTTTTGGCTTCAGGGAATAAAGGTTTTGATAAAATGTTCTCCCTACATAATTTCTTTGTTACGATAAGTTTGTATTTCCCACCTTCAGTTGATAAATTCTGTAAATACCCGATAATTACCAAACAATCAATGTTTTGTATGCAATATTAACCAAACAATAACAAACAAATAGCAAAAGAATACAAATAGTAAGCACTTTATAGTCTGAATACATGTACATTGTTCAATAATGTGCCCCGCATTAAATAACCGCTGCTGTAAAATACCAATTACACCTGTGACTAGTGACAGGTTTGGCTTTTTTACGGCAAATTTGCCCACACAAACAAGTCAGAAGGTTGCTGCTACTTTCCTTTTTAAAGAACTTCGTTTATAACGAACAATATTTAAATGTCCCATTGAGTTCGTTATAAGCGGAGTCGACTGTATGTTTTAAAACAACTTGCTTTGAGAAGATAACAATACTCTACTGTCATACTAAGATTTCAAAATCCTCCCTATGTTCATATTCTCAAAGTTTTGCATTGAAAACAGAGTTTGATGTTCTGCCATCAGGATGTACATTCTTTTTAAATATACTACAGAACTGTTTCATTGATTCTGATTATATTTAGTATTATTGTACCACATGATGGAAACTGCTTTCCAGTGGCACTACAAATTTATAATTAATCAATTACACCATACAATATCATGAAAAGTATATCAATTGAAATTAAAGCATGAAACATCAGATAAGCACAAAACCAACCAACACATAAACAATAAAATTTTCCAATCCATCACTGTGGCACATGACCATGTGGAATAAATTATTATCTTTTCTACTCATTTGGCTACTTTGTCAGTAACATAGTAGTTTATGCAAAGAATGAACATGTTTTATTGATGAATTTATCAAATTTGTTACTTAAAATAAGTGGTCAGTAATGATAAATTTACACATTAATCCTAACTAAATCAGTATTTGCCTTTAACTTAATATTTTCTTCCTCATTTTTTCCATTTAGGTTCTGGCGGCAAGAAGCTTTTAAGAAATTATGCAATCCTTCCAATCCATTTAATTGCTATAAACACCTATATAAGAATGACTTAGTAAACGGGCTATATGTTTTGCAGAATGTTTAGTCCAACAGACCATACAAGAAGTGTGTCACTACAACTCTCTAAGGTCCTTGATGACATTGGTGTAAATTATGACATGGTCAGAAAAAGAAGGCAAACAGTAATGGCAGAAGAATCTCTCCGGACAGTGATGAGGAACTTACAAGATAGGAAATTAACCACATATAATTTTGGGAGCCGCACTGAAGGAACGACTACAGCAGGTCTTCATGCAGACTCTGACACCCTGGCATGTAACAACCAGTTCAACATTATACAAGACCTTTCAGAATGGCGTCATGGATATACAAATTTGTTGATGGTACGTGATGCTAACACACCACCAGGATACTGTCTCCTACAAAGAACATATGACAATTTTCCACATCCGGTTGATTATCCCCCTAGCGAAGACTTCTATGTTGACAGTAGAAGTAGAGTGCTGATGAAGAATGATTGGTTTGTAAAAACATTACCCCATGGTAGTGTAAGACGTGGTCCATCACAGTCCATACAAGGTTTACCTGGATTTGCTGATGATGACCTTGTGCATGCGTTTTACTGTAAATCATGGCCAAGGGAGGCCAGAATATTGACAGAAACAGCAAGTGCAGGAAATTGGCCTTCTGAAGAATTAAAGAGGCAAGCTATGAATGATGGATGTTTTGTTGTACCTGTTGGTTGCCGTGGTACTGAAAATGAGGAACTTCAATGGAGAATATCAACATCATTAACAGAACGCAGACTTATGTTCAGCTTAAACATAGTTCAAATCAGGTGTTATGTTTTGATGAAAATGATTCTAAAATCTTACCAAATCCTTGATTCTCAAGATGCCTTATCAAGTTTCATCTGTAAAACAGTCCTCCTTCATTGCATTGAAAAGGGAGAAGAAAATCTATGGCAAGATGATAATTTAATAAACTGTTTGAATACTTGCTTGAAATTTCTACATGACTGCGTTTTGTTAGAACACTGTCCACACTTTCTTATACCAGAGAACAATTTGATGGCAAGACGCATTTCACCAGACATCAAACCACAAATTCTAGCAATAATCCAAAATATTTTACGTAGTGACGGTAAAGCTCTTGAAGATATCGAAATTGACCATCTTGGTATGAGAATCACTGGACGCATTGTACATATACATTGTAAATTACTATCACCTTTAAAATACAAACCAGATATATCTGGACATTTATTGTATACTTTCATGAGCCGCCTCAGTTATGGTATTTGTGGCTATCTGACTGAACTGACACACTTGCAGACAGAAAACGTTGTCCAAAAGTTGTCTGTATCTATAAATAAGCTTACAACCTTTCACAATGAAGGTACGGAATATGAACAAAAAGCATGTGAACTTATTTCCAACTTCTTATATATGTCTCTGGGATCAGTCCTGGCTTCCAACAGTATTTCTAAGAATGAAACAATTCAACGAAATTCACTTGTAATGTTAGAACAAGGATCAGCTAATGACATCTCATCAACATTAAAATGGGCATCAGTGTTCTATTGCAAAGGAGACATGCCTCAGACTATTAGTATACTTGATACAATACTAGAACAATATAGCATTGAAAGTTTGCAATCGGTTTGTTGTTGCTACCAGAGTCGAGATAAAGGAGAGCGTAAACATGAATTTGAAGAAGTCTGTGTTGAAGGTGATATAAAACATGTATTAAAGCACACAGCTTTTTGTGTAAGGTTCTTACCATGTGAAGTGAACTGTGTCCCAGAGGAGTTAAAACATGAATATTTCCGCCCAAACATGGATGCTCTTCATAAGGACTACTGGATGGACTGGGCTGTGGTAGACTCAATTCCTTACTATTATTTCTTATTGTACAAAGTCCAGAAAATTCAAGGTAACATGGAGAGACAGCAGGCAGCTTTTGACAAACTTAGACGAGCAATAGACTCTGACTCTAATCTCGGACACAAGGAAACTGACTTAAATTTACTTGCACAATGCATGGAGCAGGAAGGCATGTTAGATGATGCCAGAGATTGTTACACTGCTTCAACAGATCTTCGTCCAGTACATAATGCCGCTAATTCTCTTATCAGTCAAATCTTTTATAGACGATATTCAAATAACAGATAAAAACAAGAAGCGCCGCAATGCGACGAAAACCAGGTTTTCAACGGCCAAGTTTTTATGTGACAGCAATCAATAGGTCAAAGTGCACTGAAGTTATTGGGTAGAAGCTGAAAATTCTATTGTAAGCAAATGACCTTGAACTTGCTCCCAGATATCTAAGTAGCAAGCCAAAGCTGCCACTCAGCAAGTTTGGTGTCAAAAGGTCAAAGCAAACTCAAGTTATAACATGAAAACTAAATACATTAACCTTGATCACAGACACCTGGGTAGCAATCCCAAGCTGCCTCTTGATATAAGCTACCCATTCATGAAGTTTGGTGTCAAAAGGCCAAAGCAAACTCAAGTTATTGAGTGGAAACTGAATTTCTATTTTTAGTAACAGTTACCTTGGCCTTGATCACAGACACCTGGATAGCAATCCCAAGCTGCCTCTTGATATAAGCTATCCATACACCAAGTTTGGTGTCAATAGGCCGAACCAAACTCAAGTTATTGAGCAGAAACTGAATTTCTATTTTTAGTAACAGTGACCTTGACCTTGATCACAGACACCTGGGTAGCAATCCCAAGCTGCCTCTTGATATAAGCTATCCATACATCAAGTTTGGTGTCCATAGGCCAAACCAAGCTCAAGTTATTGAGCAGAAACTGAATTTCTTTTTTTTAGTAAGTGACCTTGACCTTGATCACAGACACCTGGGTAGCAATCCCAAGCTGCCTCTTGATATAAGCTATCCATACACCAAGTTTGGTGTCAATAGGCCAAAGCAAACTAAAGTTATTGAGCGGAAACCAAAAGTTGACGCCCCCCCGCCCGCCTGCCCGCCGACTTCGGCATTACAATAACCCGGTTTTCGTTGAAAACCTGGTTAACAAACTGCTGTATGATAACCGGTACATACACCAATAAACAAAGAAGTAATTTTTTTCAATACACACCCATGCTGATTTTGCGACTCCGTAAAAATGGTATTGCATTGCCAAGCAGATATTTTGACTTGACGTCATTTGCCTTATACAATAGTAGTGTAAGTTAGCATTACACTATAGGCACATTGATGAAAAATGACTCTTTTTTAACTTTAAACAGTCTTTATTTTATTTTACCAAGATAAAATTTGTATTTTTAAAAAAAGGGAGCAGTAATGTTTACTGTACCAAAACATTAATTTTTCATAAAATTATGTACAAAAGAACAGAAAACATTTGTTTCCATAGAGGTTTTCTTGCAAAATTAATGGAGACATAATTTTAAGTACTTGTACAAGGGATGATCCAGAATTACCTGCATTTTGTAATTAAATAAATTAATAAATTTCGTGTTGTCTTCATTAAAGTTATACCTGCCTAAAGTTTGATGTTATGGAAAATATTATATGGTTTAATGACATCCAGCACCATCTCACACCCCCTTTATATAACCATGGAAATGCCACAGCAGCACAGCTCAAAGAACCCGACATACATTGAAATTTATAATGCACCAAAGTACATATTTTTAACATCTAATTTTATCATGCACATAATTATGTTATTTGATTAAAAATCATGTAGAGAAATGAAACATATTTTATGCCTTCAACTTTAAAATGTGCATCATTTTTCGATTTTTTCCCCGTAAGCAAATCAAACTACAGTTCCATAGTCATAGGTTTGAGTTGTTATCAAACTTTCAGTGAGTGAATTCAGAAATTTTCAACAAAAGGACCCCTCATGGTTTAAGAAGATTATTATTCACAAAAAAAGGGTTATAAGGCATCAACCTTATATTGCATACAGCAGCAAATACATCAAAAACATTTAGTATGCTTATGACAATTATATTTTAACATTCAGACTGTGCTGTATGCACATTACTATGTTTGCTAAGATATGCATGTGGTGGCCATAGTGTGTTCCATTGTTATAATTCTTGTTTCCTTGTAAAGAGGATATGTTACCCATATAATAATACAGAGTTTGTTGTGTGAACAGTTCATGTATATTATATAATATAAATATATCATATAATTGAATTTATGGCTTTATTCCGGTATTTCTGGATTACCCCTCGTTTCATATACTACCCTTAATTTTATTACCCTGAATGCCATTAAGAAGATAATATCAGGAAGTGAAGTAATTTTCTACATATCTAGTTACATATCTAGTTTCAGATCTGTGAATAGATGGCAATTAAACCTTTAAAGAATCTGTTAACAATGATAATTTCTTTTATGTCACTACATTACCTTCCTTGAGATGCATAGAGATTATTATCTCACATAAAACAACGAATCTTTGATGGTGATTTATTGTAAAACATTGAAAGAGGACATTAAAGTGTATAATTGATACCTTTTCATGTAAAAATAAAAAGATGAAATTAAAGAGACTCCAAACATCAAATCTTCAAACATAAAATCAAGCAAATTGCCACTAGTCACTGATAATCCTAAGTAGTCTTTCATAAACTCATTCATAAACAAGCTGATGTTATTTCATATATACAAGAATGATAAATGGGGCAATGGTGTGAACACAATACGACGTAAGTTTTAATTGTTGAAAACTTGATAAAATAACGTTTTTCTTATTATTTCTTTTCTTAAATCTATTTCTATTTCTTAAATAACAGACGGTATAATTAAGCGCCGATCTTTTTGACGTTATGACGTTGTTTCTTTTGAACAATATCGTCAAGGTAATATCCCTTTCTAGTGTCCCTCAATCGTAACATGGGAAAATAGGTTGTCATATCATAATTGATGCTAACATATTTGAGGTTAAATGCGATCAAGTCTTTTTTAATATAGTTGAGCCGCGTCATGACAAAACCAACATAATGGGTTTGCGACCAGCATGGATCCATGCTGTTCTTTTACAAACCCTATAACAAGTAGAGAAACTAATAGCGAACAGCATAGATCCTGATCAGACTGCGCGGATGTGCAGGCTGGTCTGGATCCATGCTGGTCGCAAACCCATTATGTTGGTTTTGTCATGACGTGGCTCATATCTATGTATTATGTGTATAATATACTGCATAGAAAATAGATTCCTTAAAGAATGCCTGAAATGGCACAACTGAAAATGTTACAGACACATTTTGATTGAGTCTGTTCTAATCATTTAAACTTTCAGGCAAGACTGGGCTTAGAGAAGCTTCACTGAGGTCCAAAAGCCTAAAATCATAACATAACATTTAGAATAATTACATAGATGTAGATCAACTTGGGCACTTACAGTAAAATAGGAAAATATGCAAAAGGACATATTCATAAAATTGAATTGAAAATCCCTTTTTTGATGTAATTTTTAGCCCGATATGATTTAATATTGATATTTCATATTTGGATCATTTTCAACAATTGAAATGATTAGTCTGGAAAAACTAAGAGTAGAAATTGTGTGAAATTTTGCATCAGGCCCTTCGTCAAATGCTATGCAATTCTTAAAAAAATATTTCTAGTCCCATTATGTCAACGGAAAAAACTCAGTTAAGTCCCTTTAAATCATTAATTTTTATATTAAACTACCTATCATGTTTTTTTTATAATTTTTATATTAAACTACCTATTCACACAAATGTCTCTAAATCAGATTACATGAACACTACAACAATTTGGGTTAAAACAAATATTCTCTACATTTTCTTCAGGCATGTCAAACCACATTTAGCAAATGTACACTGATGAACAGGAAGGAAGTAATTCCTCTTTACAACCAGGAGAAAAAATAATGGTGAATTTACCAAAAAAAAAAACAGTAAACTTATGTATATTTACTGAACTTTCTGTTTTTGTTAAAATTTGTACTACTACAGAATCTAACAAACAATTAATTTACTTACAAATCCATTGCTGTTATAATTATTATTTATGTGAAGTACTGTTAATTTACCGAATAGGCATGAAATTTCGTGGTTTTGTCCAAAAGGAGGAAGTTTTTCATGGGTTCTAGAATTTGTTTTTTTTTGGGGTTTTGTTGTTTGTCTTTTTTTGCAAAAAAAGTAAATTGTAAAATACAATGCAAGTAACATAATTATGAAAATTCATATATAGCAGACAAAATAAAATTTCTTTGGATCTCAAATTCGTGGATACTGACCTATCCACTAAAAGCACAAAAATTTGTACCCACACAAATAATAATGATGTTGCAGTACATGAATACAAGCTATAGAATTCAATTTAACAACCCTTACCTGTCTGGCTGGAACTTTGACATTTGGGGCAGCTGTCCCTGCCAAGAGTTGAGCTTGGGAGCCCAACTGACCTGGGCTCAAGTCTTCTACATTAATACTCTCGGAACTGGAACCTAAAGATGGAGTTAACCCCACAGAAGTCGGCCCGCTTGTAGGCACTACTGCCATGTCTCGTAACTTTGGCTGAAATAAATACATTCAATCATCATATTCATGGCAACTATTATATGGAACTTAGAAATAAGGGTAGTGTCAAGACAACTGTAATGTAAAAATTAACAAAAAAAACCAAAACAGTTCATGATTCAGCATTGCAGTACACAGACTGGTTTGAAAACTTTCTATTGCAGCAGAAGTTTTTTTGTTGTTTTTTTTTTCTAAATACTGATAAGGTAGCTTAAGATGTGATTCTCTTTAACAGACCCTGATTCAATGTTAAGAATTTTTGGGAAGCAGATGGTGTAACATCTTAATTACACACAAATATGTTGCTTTTAAATTCATAGTTAAGTTTTGATGTTTTTTGCTTAGCAAGCGATTTCTTAGCCTTTTGTGCAGCAGCTTGTGCTTGGTGGATTTTTTCTGAAAACACACAAAAATATATACATGTATATAACAGCAAGACTGTCTCTCTTATTCCCAAGTTGTTTTTATTTCAATGAAGGAATTAAATCAGGATAACCACTAACAAGCGCTGAATAATGAGCAATTTGCTTCATCTATGTCAAGATATATGATATCCAATTTCAATTCTGCATCAGCAAGTGTGCACATGGTCCATATTTAAATGTTGTAGCTCTCAATACAGAAAAATGGGTCATTATATCAAAATTAAGGTCAATGTTCAATTTTGCATTTGAAACACTATCCTCCAAAATCTAAAATGACTAATATTCTTCTGGAGCACTTGTCCATATGGGGAATCAGTAGCAAGTATAAATAAACTCAATTACACACACACAGGGGAATCTGGAGTGGTCATATTAAACCATTTAATCTGTATGGTCATAAGAAAAAATTAGACTAATAAAAGGCTAGATACTTTTTTAACAAGCTAAACCAGGATGCATATGGGACTTTATATTTTCTCTGAAAATCTCCAGCGAATTCAATCAATAACAAACTTCATTGTCTTACAAAATTCTTCCTCAGTTCTATTTCTATGCAGATAGATCCATACTTTACTGTTGACATCATACTTTACACAAGGGTCCTTCTCTGAATGAAGCCTATCAAGAGCTCCACTTACAACAACGTTGATCTAAATACAATAAAAATATTTTAACTTACATTCTGTTACTTTATAAAGTGTGTAAAAAAATAGATAATATGTTGTTACACTGTATGAAACTATATATCTGCTACATGTAGTTAACTCAATTATTGTTTGAATTTTGAACAAATATTTATTCCAGAATATCTGTATCGTAGAAATATGTTTATATAGTTCCTTTCAAATAAATGGTGCATGCACAAAGTCATTGCTAAATGGTTAAAGAGGTACTTAAAGATCAGCATAATACTTTGTTCTGAAACATTTTATTGTTTACATATAATATTCAGCATGAAATATATTATTCTGTTTACGTATAATATTCAACATGGAACATCTTATTCTGTTTACGTATAATATTCAACATGGAAAATCTTATTCTGTTTACATATAATATTCAACATGGAACATCTTATTCTGTTTACATATAATATTCAACATGTATCATTTTATTCCGTTTACATATAATATTCAACAGAGACGTTCTATGTTACAACTTCTTAAAGACCAAAATATCATGAAAACAGCATAATTTTATTGTTTTTGATAAAAAAAAGATTTTATTAGATTTAGCTTTATACCATTGAATCATGCATGCATATATGGCATTATTGGTTAAAACTACCCACATGAATGCATTTACTTTTTAAAGATAAGCAATGATCTAAAAAGCAATTATACTTTATTTACTAAGACTTGTGGGTATTTCTAAAAATAGACCAGTCACATGTGACGACATTACAGGAACAAGCATTGACATTACACGGAAATGTTCAACTATTTGTATTCTGCACTGTCATGATCTTTTGTGCCTCTTTTAAGCGACAACAGACACTTTCTGTGGTACTCACATAAATGTCATTAAACCAACTTAATTAGTCAAAATTGTTATTTATTTAATCTTTGTGCATTAAATGTCGTTGATCATCATAAAAAATAACATATTTGAAAAAAATGCCTTTGTAAATAATTGATTTTGAATAAAAATCATAAAATTTTAAATCGTCATATCAAAGTCATCTTTTTATTTTTTTGTCATCAAACTTTCGGAAAGTAAACATAATTATAATATCTGGGGAATTGTGTCTCAAATTTTTTCTATCTTTTCTTAAAAAAATATTACGTCAAACATTTTATGCGACTTTTTTCACCATACATATTACGTAATTACAGATAATTAAGTCGCTGATTGAGCAAACAAAAATCCCTGACATAGTTCCGTCCGTAAATGAATTCCCTTTCATGTGCTTTAAACCGCATGTTAATTGCTTGATTATTAAACTAGAAATGTGTCATCATGCCATGGATGCCCCCGCATGCAGCCAAAATTTCAGATGGTGCTTTAATTATTTTTTTCATTTTAAGTTCAAATCCCTTAAAACTTTTCAATGTTAACACAAACCATTTTCATACAATGTTCAAGGCACTGAAATTATTCAGTCTAAACCTTTTAAAAATAGCATATTGCATATTTGTAGCCAAAATAATGGCTAAAAGTAAGAGTGCTGAAAGTGAAAGTTCAAAATTTTTCCAACATTCAGGAAAGATAAGTTTGTCTTAAATCATTGAACTACAACCAAATTCAAACTTAAACTGCTTATTCCTAAGATGTATCTATATTATTTTCAAAGTGAAAGGGACATAACTCTGCCAAAAAATCATCAAACCATGACCAAATTCCAACTTGACCTGCCCATTCCTTTGACATATCCATATATCAAATTTAAGTTGAATATGTAACACTGTTTGGTAGATAATGAACAGAAACTGTAAATTTCATATTATTTTCAAAGTGAAAGGGGCATTACTCTGCCAAAAATCATTGAACCATGACCAAACTCGAACTTGGCCTGGGCCTTCCAAAAACATATCCATATGTCAAATTTGAGTTGAATGTGTTGTACCATTGGGGAGATAATAAACGGAAACTGAAAATCTCATATTACTTTCAAAGTAATTTCTTAATTTATAAAAAAGGATTAATAAAAGGTAGACGATATAACGTTGAGATATTCATAAAAGATGTACAGTATTTGTACGATACATGTATTACGAGTTGTATGGAGCGGTAATTCACGGATATATGGAACTACCGATTTCCCTCATTGATGCCTCAACAGGGGGCGGAGCGTTATCGTTAATTGACAAGTTACGCAAATAGCAGATAAAATGCGATAGGTACCGTTTTAAAATGTTTAAAAACACATTTTTTGGACTAACTGCTACCAAAATTAAATCACGAATGTGTTCAGAAAAGGTTGATATATCTACTAAGCAAAAAATCTCATTTTAGGTATTTTGAGTGATAATTGACTCCGTTGTCACCTTAAGACTTATTTCCGATTATAGAACTCATTTTATATAGATACCATTTTGCATTCACATGCATTATGCTTTTCCTTGAGTTGTGGCTAAGATGTTTGTCAATAGTATCGCAAGAAAACATTCGTCAAATCCCTGAGAACTATTTCAAGTTACCTTACCAAATTATTAAACATCATTATATGACAAGTGCGTCCAATCTTCAACTATCTAATGCAAGATTTGATTAATTTATTTGGTACTTAAAAATCCTCAATAAGATATGTAAAAGTTTGTTATCATAAACGAAACTAAACAGCATGGTAACTTTTCACACCCTGAGAAACAGGATTAGATAAAGTTGGTTTAAGCATCATTTTAGTATATTTATGTCATAATTACAATTAAATGAGCCGCGTCACGACAAAACCAACATAATGGGTTTGCGACCAACATTGATCCAGACCAGCCTGAGCATCCGCGCAGTCTGATCAGGATCCATGCTGTTCGCTATCAGTTTCTCTACTTGTAATAGGGTTTGTAAGCGAATAGAATGGATCCTGATCAGAATGCGCGAATGCGCAGGCTGGTCTGGATCCATGCTCTTCGCAAACCCATTATGATGGTTTTGTCGTGACGCGGCTCAAATATCTAAATACATCATATAACCTGTGCATCAGTATTTCCTGGTGCAAGAAACTGTGAATCTTTAAGAAGTTCACAAATCTCAGCCCTATTTCCTTCTCTATTTGGTAACCTAGCAACAGAATCCTCACTGAAAACAAATACACGTAGTTTTCTTATCTTTACATAACTATAAATCTCTTTTGAATTTATTGCATTAGTACAAAGAATGTTTATGGGAATGGAAAACAACAACTAAAGAATACCATGACTTATGCCTTATTAAGGTAAGAATGTTGCAATACAATTAAACCGTCAGTTTAACATATAAGTTTATTCTGTTCCCTCATTGCTTCTAAACGTAGTCTATAGTTTATAACTTAATCTGAATTTGTGGAGAAATTGCTAAAACAGACACTTGACAAGCACAAAGTCCTTTAGAGAGCTACGTCATAGTACATGTACATGCAGATTATTAGCTCTTAACATATTTAATGTCATAATCGAATGCGATATTCAAATCAGCACATGTAAAATAATTTGTTTTCACAACCAGACTAAAGATATACCTAATGTTAATATAGTTATAAATACAGGTCAACGCATGTTCCCTCGCTCTATTTGTGTCGTTTTTCTTGCTAAAAACGCCCTTTACTGGTCCTACAACTGACTGGTAGCCGTGCATCTCGTATGTATATGCTTTATGCGGCTCTGCAAACCTCAATTTTTCCTGAAATAATATCAATATGAGCCGCGTCACGACAAAACCAACATAATGGGTTTGCGACCAGCATGGATCCAGACCAGCCTGCACATCGGCGCAGTCTGATCAGGATCCATGCTGTTCGCTTACAGACCCTATAACAAGTAAAGAACCTGATTGCGAACAGCATGGATCCTGATCAGACTGTGCAGATGCGCAGGCTGGTCTGGATCCATGCTGTTCGCAAACGCACAATTTTGGTTTTGTTGTGACGCTGCTCATATAAAGTCAAACTTGTACTAAAAGCTACATGTCTCACTATTAGTCAAAATATTTCAATGAAATCAAATTTTAAGAAAAATGTACTAAAATTTTAAGAAAGTAAAAAAATTCAAGATTCAAGTAATATTTTACCTGTTCTGTGCCATTAATGACTAATTTTTCAGTATTTACAACTATATTTCTATTGTGTTACTAATGCAGTAAGGGCTATTTATGCATATTTTGACCACTTTTTGGTGATTAACGGGGGTTGTTAGTGCCATTGAAATGTATACATTGCTGTCTTTTGGTTATTTCACTATATCAAACATTAAGATACATTTTCAAAATTTTCATGAAAACTATGAATTTGGAGGCATGCTGCCTTAAAGCTGCCTCATAATAAACACTACAATCAAATCATCATGATTCTAATAAAGGTCACTGTTTGTTGCCAACAAACAGACTGGCAAGTTAACATACAGTTGGCAGGTGAGTTAAAGAAACCTGTTAAAGAGACCCTCACAAAAGATTACAATTGTGCATCTTAGAAGGCTATTCTGCTGTACAATATATTCATAATGTTATAGCATTATACTAACCTGTCTCTGAAAATCTACTTTTTCCTCCGCAGATGTTGCCTTGACCACATATCCAGTTCTTCTGTAAGACAATTTTTTCTTTATTTTCTTTATCAGTTACTTTGTAAAAACTCTTAATGTCAACACTGTTTCACTTCTGTGTGTGTCAAGTTCCATTTATTAGATACTAGTTAAAGGTTGACATTATCATTCAAACTTTTTATGTTTGAAAATATCCTAAACAATATGCCAAAGTGGCTATATCTTTGTTATTTATGAATGAATACTTGGACACATCTATCATCTGGAATGTTTCCTAAAGTTGACTACATTGACTTTGATTATGAGTCATAAATGAACTTGACCTTCAGTGTCAGATTATTGAATTTGTTGATTGTTTGCTGTAACTGTGTATAACTTTCTTATTTATGTCTTTATATTTAGATACATCATTAGTTAGGACAAGACCTTGATGAAAATCAAACTTAACTTGACATGTACTCATTAAAGTTACATTAAATAAATATGTAAAAATATTTTGCTGTCGGCCTGAAAATCAAACATTCTACAGTTTCATTAACCTTTTTAATAGTATTGTTGTAAATCTCATCAAATATTGTTCATAAATAAGGATTTTAAACGGGAAACCCCACGGTACCACTAAAGTTCGTATACGAATTTTAACATGCAAATGAAGCTCGTGTATGCGCTACGTCACAGTTTTATAGTTGCTATCCGAACACTGCCAATGTTATATTTTTGTGCAAACACACTTTAACCGTTTAAGCTTCACGGCGCACTAAACCTGGGGTTCAGTAAAAGTAATAATCTCGTAAAAAGTTTAAATTTGTATGAAAACATCAGTAACAATACGGAAATATACCGTTAAATTAGGACTGCTACTTATAGTCATGATTGTTGATTTAATATTGATGTAAGGATGATCCGAAGGCGGAGTTTTTCATGCAAACAGAAATTGTATTTCCCATTTCGCCACAATAAGGTTACCTTTTTATGCTTAACTCATTTTGGTTGTTTGGACACCAAAATAAGACCTGGAGTCGATATAAAACCCAATTTATTAATGAAATGTCGCTATTTAGTTTTTTATGAAATTTATTTAATGTTACTTTAATAATCTTTACTTTGAAAGTATTAATATTGACTTTTTGCCACTTTTTTCCCGTTGTTTGCAGGGCTTTATAAGACTCTTTCGAGCCGCATCTAGACTGACGTACAACAATTGGTAAGCCGCTACACTGACATAAAGGAGCAGCAGCAACAACAGGTACAGTCTAGATATGGCCTTCCTTAAACAAGGATAGTGATCCCTGTTCCATGCAATTGCAGCCTAATCCCTCACAATGGCCATCCCAAGTCGTGTGTGTGCGGATCTCAGGAACGTGCTTGGGTACAGCAGCATCAGTTTCAGCAGCCAGACAAGCAAGCGTGTACCCCTCCCACTGGTAGACAGTCGCAAGAGGGATCAAGTATGGTGTTTGCAGGCCTTATCTCACTTTTAGATATGGATGACTCCAGAAGCAGTAAACGCTAAATAATACGATACATGGACACACTAGCGATATCGTTTTTCTTTGCAGCAGTCAAACTTCTTATTGTCATTTTGAAGTCTTGTCAGACATGCACTTACTTGACAATTGTAGTTCATTTTGTTTCTAGAAACAGATCAATTAGATTTTTGATGCATGCATGTATGTAAAATTTTGCACAGAAACTTTAGTTCAAAATTTGAATTTATAAAGTTAATACTTGTATAAACTCGATTGTATTACCGTTTGGTTTCCAATCAAAATTTAGTTGTTATGTCTATCTGTCTGCCTGCCTGCGTGCGTGCGTGTGTGTGTGCGTGTGTGCGTATGTATGTATGTGTGCATGTTTTAAGAATGAGTCTTAGTTCTTGTACTAGTAATAAAAAATCTATGTGTTTATAAAAAAAACGCCTTATGGTTAGTAACATCAGCTTTTGTGGTCAAAAAAGTTATAATGCCTTTAAATTTTATACAAGAAGTATATGAATAAATACTAAAACTAATATAACCAATTGCTTTTGTCTGTATACTAATATCATTTATTAATCCTTAAACTCAGGCATGTTGATTTGCCTATAATCTTTGTGCGGCTACATTTCTTCGATGTTTTCCGTACTTTACCTGAATTTACTTGGGTACTGTTTTAATAAATGACTCACGTATGGAGAGTAACTCCTAATATGGTAAAAATAATATAATTCAAAAACATAATTTTAATGCTCTTTTGTTTAGACTATACAACAGTATATACTTTTGTCAAAAGCTGTCAAGATTACTTCTTATGTAGATTACATTGCATAAAACACTTAAATTCCTTCTGCAAAAAATATACATACTAGACCTGACTATAATTCAAAAATAACTGCAGAGACATTTGCACAATCTGAACTTAATCCAAAATCGCAGGAGGTAAAACATTCATATTCAAAACAATCCCTACACTAAAACTATCTGAACTCGCAAACAGTAATTGTAAAACGTTATTTCATTTGTCATTACTTGTTAAGACCGCACATCTAATGCTTAAAATGTACAACATTGTACATTATAACACAAACTAGTGGGGAATCATTTTTCCTGCCATGGTACCGATCCTACCTGGCTGTTAAAAATAATTTAAGTAGTTCCCTCTGTCTTTTCCCAGCGATGTTGTCCCTGTTTGGTCCTCTTGGAATCTGTACCTCGTGCATGTTACGTTCTTGTCTCCAGGCACCAGGTTTCGGATAATGATTATCATCCTCTTGGTCAAGTTAGACACTTTGTAACGCCGGGAAGCACAATCTCATGAGGTTATTAAGGCATTCATAACACTCTATGATGTCTTGTATCACTGCTGGGAATTGCTGCATAGTGGTGAGTAATACCTGCCATATTTGTGTCAAAATACCAAAAACATTTTCAATCACACGAAGGCCCCTTGATATTTAGTAGTTTTTTATTAAGTCCTCTCTGGTAAGACCTCTTTGCGAATAAGGTTTCATCAAATATTTTCTCAACCCAAATGCATCATCACCTAGAATGAAGTAGGGTATCGGCTCGTTGTCATGTGGAAGTGGATCAGGCGCTGGAAACCCAATCGATCTGTCTTCAAGGCACTGTTTCAGCTCAGATTCGTTAAGAATTTGAGCATCAGACATAGAACCAAGACCTCCGCAGTCGATCCATAGAAATTTGTAATCCGCATCTTCCAGTGCTAGTAGCACTAAGGAAAAGAAGTGCTTGTAATTGTGGTAAAGCGAGTCACTGTTTGGGGGACATCTGATGGCCACGTGTTTGCCATCTAGTGCACCGCATGAATCTGGAACATTCCATCTGTTTTTGAACTGGTCTGCTATGAGAAACCATTCATCAAGAGACTTTATTACTTCATCTTTAAATTTCTCACAAATGGCCTGGCGAACTTCAGGTATGAGACACGCTATCGTATTCTTAGCAACTCTGAAGTTATACATGAGATTATGGTACTTTTCTCCTGAAGCAAGATGTCTGATAGTAATGGCGAGCTTGATGCCTGGTTGTAGAGCTTTTCTCCAGCATGTATCTTTTTTCTGATTCCTAGGGCCAACTCTCTCAAGCAGTTCATCGAACATCGCTGGTTCCATCGAAGGAAGGGGTGTCTTCCATTCGGAGTTCTCTCATCAGTGTATCATATTGCTCAAACTAGAGTCTCCTATCTGCAGATAGTAGCCATGATCGTACCAAGTATACTCTTGGCTTTTTCTGCGCCTCCGCCTGTTAACAATCTGTGCAATTTCAATTTCAACTAAAATTTGTTCTTGCTGAAGTAAAGCCAGATGAATCAGATCAGCAATAATACGTCCGTTCATGCTTGAAGTTTGGAAGTAAATAAAAAGTAATTTTTGAAACACAAGATATATATATCATCGCCGAAACCATACCAGAAGCTCACTACAAGCGTGATATGATCGGCACCGTCGTAGCGAAATCGTCGTACAGTCTTTTAGGTCTGCGTAGCGTCGTAATGCAAGCTTGAATGTCGTAGAGGCAGCGTAGTATAAACGCAGTAAACGCGGCCGCTGGTCGGCATCTGTCAGCGTAACATCGTAGTAGAAGCGTGTCAGCAGCGCGTTGGACGCGAGAACATCGTAGTACAGTCGTACTGAAGACAAAATTTTCAAATTGTTCAATTTGGACATCGATCCAATACTTTTTCAGATCGTGGCTTGATCGGCATGATCGTCCTAAAGTCGCAGCTCAATGTGTACGGGGTGTAAGGGACATTTTGCGTCACGTTCATCATATTGTCGAGGGTTGTTTTTTTGTTTTTTTTTTCATTGAATATTTCGCTCACTTTTTATCCTTTTCAATTTCATTCGTTTCTAATACAAAATTGTGCATTTTATCTCATTTTTCTTCATTTGTTTGCGATAAAGCAATTAAATTAAACCAAAACTCAACATAAACTAGATCGAGCATGCAAGGCATATATCATCTTCAGTAACTGTGTCATATCAGCCATTTGGTTAATAAAAGACAAACAACAAGTATAAACTTGATTTATATATTTAAAAAATTTGACATATCTATCGTAAATCATGTTTATTCCAGCATTGGTAGTGTGCATCACTGTCCTTATTGTCCTTTTCCTTATCCATATGATTTCACTGGGGCGCAACTGAAAATAACATGCAACAATGTTTAAATGTCACACAAAAGTAGTGCTTTTCATTGGCATAGTTAATATGCTTTTAGGACAAACGCATTCTTTTACTTGAGGGTCATACGCCCCTTTTCATGGAATGGTTCTGACGTGTCACATTGAAGGTTCAATGATAACTGCCGTATGAACATAGCTTCAGATATCTAAAAAATAAAAAAATTTATCATGGTAAATGTTGAATACTGCTGTTGATATTTTACATCGGTAGAGTGTGTTAGTTTATCTTTTTTGTGCCATTTGATACATGTACAACATTAAACAAACAACTGCTTCATAAAGTGTCCTTACCTTAGCATTTGAGATTGATTCATTTATCATATGATATCATACATGTATCATTTCATATTCCGTTATTATACAGCCAGTCAGAAGACTGATAAAGAGTGTTGTTTGTGGCAACTGATCTCGTGGACACATTTCTAGCTTTAAAGATACTTTCATAACAATTATATTTTATGCTTAAACCTCTACGTAAACATTTCTCTGTACACGTTGAATGAATGCGTATATTAAAGTACAACTTGTATAAGAAATTGAATGTATGAATGATATTCGATTTTTGTCTATAAATACAGGATTTATTTTCCTTCGAGTGGTATGAAAATAATTACTTCATCAGTAGCGGTAACCATGGGTTAATTATGATAATTTTCATACAACAAGATGAAAATTTATTCATACCACAAGAAAATAAATCCCGTATTTATAGGAAAAAAACATGCATTTTAGACAGCCACGCGAATTGTGACATTATTTGTCCTATAAGTAGCAAAATGTAAACGGTTTGATACTCTGAATGTCATACAATATACTCAATCACTATAACTATCCGTGCGGTTAATATATAAAACAGAAAAGATAGTTTTGCTTTATAATCAGATAAATATTTTGGGGAAAAAATCTGAAACAGGACTAAAAAATGTTTTTGAGAAAAAAAAATAAATATAATTGTTGGGGCTTAGTATACTACAGGTCAAAAATCGGAATATATAATTATATGATGTTTTGGCATATTGATGTGTAAACCTCATTATTGAAAACATCTTAACCGAAAGATCATTTCGATGGTACATATGAGGAAATTTATTAAACATTATTAACAATTATTATCATAATTATCAGAAATTATCAAGTTGAAATGACATTAAGAGCAATGGCATTGCAATTGAATGCCAGTACTCATTCTCCTCGTTTATCTGGCAACAATTAATAAATTAATACCAAAAATTGAGTACCGCTCTAAAAAATTGAGTACCGCTCTAAAAAAACACTCTAAAAAATTGAGTACCGCTCTAAAAAATTTAGTTCCGCTCTAAAACTTAAGTACAGCTCAAGGTGGTGTTATTTTGTTTTTATCAATGCTTCCGAGGGAACTACTCACTGTCACAATATCTGCCTCTGAACTGACTTGTACAGCTGCACGTGTAATCTGTACCATCAACCGTGCATGTACTGCCATTCAAGCACGGGTTTGGATCGTACGGACCTAACAGACAAAATATCTCACTTATTCTAAAACAAGTAAGGAATATTTATATATTATTTTGTCATTCGTTATATACACATATAAATTTTATATGTTTATAATATGTTCCATTCTTTTCCTTTTTTCGAATTAATGTTTGAAGTTTGATCATTCTATCCACCGTCGTTTGATGAATTTATCTGCATAGTTTAGTTTTGTTTGAACCCATTTTACAAACGATTAAAACATTTACCGTACAATCTTATTGTCTCAACAGTATGTCCGTTGCTTTGGTTAACTTGATAAATTTCTAAACTAGTCATTAATGTAAATACTGCAGCATAGTAATAGTTTCCAGTAAAAAGTTTTGTTTATCATTATTGTTATTTTAACAACACAGAAATAAAACAACAATATCAAGTTTGTCTATTAAAGCATGAATAAATATTAAGTATACTTACCCGTTTCACGTTTATGACGACCGCCTGTGCTCTTTAAACCTTCATTTAAAATAGAATACTTAAACAATAGTTTCAAAAATCTTAAAAAGGAAAACCTCGATGAATAAAGATAGAAAAATTTAGAAAATTTGTTTATAGTTTAACACAATTAATTTTGAAATTAAATATAAAACAATAAGCTGTTATTATACAATTTGAAGCAGTCTGTATACCAAGTTCTTATTGACATAAGACCAAGTCTCAAGATCATGCACGGTTATTAGCATAAATAAGTGAACTAAAGCAAACCGAAACTTTACTATTTCTATATCGCAGCGTTTTGGTTGTCTGTAAAATATCCATTTTAGCTTTTTTGTTTAAAGTTGTGGTAGAATAAATTATGTGTTTAAATTGTATTCCTAGTACATGTATAACACTTATATCACAAACATTTGACTTTTTTTATAGAAAAACTTAAAATTTGATGTAAAACTAATTTTAAGAATACAATTTAAACATCGTTTTTATTGTATTATAACTTTTTAGGTTCATAAGTCATATATATTTTTTAAGATTAAATTGAATGTCGCATATTTATTTGTTAGGATAGGAACGTTAAATATAACATAGCTTATTGTAGTTAATTTGATAATTTTGCACGTAACGAATATAAAAATACACAATGTTTGGTCTAATTACTATTATATTTAAATGAATAACAGACTCTAGATTTATAAACAAGTTTAGTTTAAACTAATACTTACAAAGACACACATATATATTCCAATGACAACAATATGTTTTAGATTATTTTGAAGCACACAAACTGTTTTAGTGTCCTTTCTTTTAACAGAAGGCGCTTCCGCTTCAAGATAAGTTTGTTCTAACAAAATGATTTGATAGACTCTCCTCCAAAATATACCGGGTAAGCATGGTTCTGAGACATATATAGCTGTGAAACTGACTGACACGTTTGATTAGCACAAAATATACAACAGTCACTAAAACTGTAGATAAATATAAAACGCCCCATTTGTTTTACGGAGAGAGTTTTCAAAAAAGCTTTACAAGCTTCCTACTCAATCCGTAAATTTTATTTTATGTAATTTATTATGTAAATGTGTGGATTATTAATAAAATATTGTTTAAACTAAAGGAAAACATTAAAAAAAAACATCCCACTCAGGCGCGCTTGTCGCAGAGAAGGCACATGGCAGGTCAAATTCGAATCATTTTAAATACCAAGTATAACATATGAACCTGTCAGAAAGGAGTTGTAGCTGTCATAAAGAAGGTCGCTGTTATGGAACGCACATGCATGCCTTCCAAGGTTTAACCACCATCGATTAACAAGATTTATTACGGATCAAAATGAAGGACTCGGTTAAGCTACAAAATTAAACCGACAAGGACGGTGCAGGTCTCGAACAAAGTGTTAATTCCGGTGCAAGACGCCAAAAAGTATACATACCAATCAAATATAAGATTGCTTCGTTCCTTCGCTGAAAAAAATGATCAAATGAAATCACACTTTCTTGTTGTATTATCTTTTTTTATAATTCTTTTTGCATAAGGTGTCACATTAATTACTTTTACAGTCAATGGACTGATGTTCTGAAATATTTCAATATTCATACACCAGTGATTCGCTTAACTGGTCGTGTTTTCACCATCGTACCATCGTGCCGTCGTGCATCGCGGTAACATACTAAATTAAAAATCACGACTGTCCAAACGGAACACCGTAGTACGATGATAAAAACGCGATGGTACGATGGAGAAATCGCGATGGCGCGATAGTACGATGGTGAAAACGCGTTGCATCGCGTTTTCACCATCGTACTATCGTAATTTCACCATCGTACCATCGCGTTTTCCAATCAGTCTCATCCGATGTTTGACGGAAAGAGTCAAGAGGATGCGATTGGCGTCTCCGTTTAAACTAGCTGCTGATCAAAAAATATACATATGCTATGACGACATAATTGCTGACTTTTTCAACATGTTCCATTTAAAAAGCAACAACGTATTATAGAGAAATAAATGTGACAAAATGTATATTATCTTTGGCATTTCCGGCTTGAATATTATAGCTAACGCTAAAACACCGGAATTTTATTTTCAGCTCTGAAATCTCGTGATCACGGGTGGGGGGAGCTGTTACACGAAGGAAGGATGATTACTTGTCAGGAGTTCTTGTGATAGCTGTCACCGAGTTAGTCGGAAAACTTATTTTTCATATATACTACAAAAACACTTGTCAAAAATGGTAATTTTCATCTTTTTCACAATTTCTACCAGTTCAAGATAATGTATCGTGTCTAAGACCCATGTCGCTACCTTCAAGGTCATGGTGGAAAGTTATGAATAACACTTCATTTCACGAGAACAATCTCAAGCAATTAGTTACTTTTCTTTTCATTATTCTTTTCTGAAAATCTTTTCGGAAATATTCGTCACTTTTTCGTGACAGCTCTTATTTCAATATATTTTCATTTTCATGGGACAAAATTACCAACAAGTGAAAACTGTTGCAACGCGTTTCAATCCTCTTTAAACATATTCATTCCCAAAAGTATATATAAAGTACATACAAATTATCATACGGATGCTTCGATATTTACTTTTACTAGCATTACAATTTTTTCATAATTATGTTTACTTCTTTAGATCATTCTTGAGAAAGACAACCTGATTACCGTTTTGAAGGTGTCTTTTGTGTTTCGTTCAATAAATACATATGTTCAATTAAAACATTTAAAAACATTATGGTTTCATATTCTGTATACCTAAGACATTTGTCAAACAATAGAAGAAAGCTGGTTAAAACTTTAAATGAGATAACCGACGTTGCTTCAGTACCTTATTCACGAATTTAGCTTGATATCGTAAAAATGGTTTCAATTGTGCTTTAAATGCTTAATTAGGCGTAAGATGACACCAGTAAATTGGAAAATGTCTCAGGTACACCGAATATAAAAAAAAACATAAAGTAATATGTATGTTATTGTATCTAAAGATATCAACGAAACTCAAAACGCCATCAATACTCTAGTCAGTTCGTCATTTTCACGAAAAAATGAAAAATAAACATTTTCATGGCAATATTTTTGATATAATGTATCAGCAACCGTATACGCTCATTTCTTTCAATTTGATGTACAATGTAAAATATGATTGCCTGTGTTAATCTTATAATGGACTGTACTTGTATTTTAGAACTGACGAAAGTTATATTTATCGTGCTTGGATTATATCTACGCCAAGAAACTATTAAACATGTAAACAAATAGTAAATAAATGTTTTGAGCTGTTGATTAAGTTTATTTTAAAGTTTATTGGTACAAATGTACAAAATTAAATTGGTTATTCGCGGCACATCGCGCGTCAAATTTAATTTTGTAAATACGTACTCATAAATTTTAACCGGCTAGTGTTTTAAATTGTTTTTATAAACAGTCGACTTACCAGACTGATTAACAGTTTGCCACGATTCATTTGAAATACTGCAATATATTGGACAAAAAATAATTTCAAGCACTATGTAATTTTATAGATATGAAAGTAAAATAGTACGTTATTTTTATACTTCAGTCTTTTTATGGTTGAAGAAATGTATACCTGTCGACATTAAGTCAGATATGTTTATAAATCAGAGGGCGCTTTAAAATTGATTCTGATTGTCAGACATATTTTACCACAATACTTTTAGCGAAATATATTTTATTTTCCTTTGGATGCCAAACGTATACATTTGATATACATTATGCAAAGATCACACCGTTTGGTTTTTGTTTACATCTAAAACCACGTTCAATCCGAATGAGTCCGATATTATATTGAATGTCCATGCGCATGCGCATTAATGTTTTATGAAATTAACCTCCCTGTTTAACAACGCCATTACGAATGCGGAAGAAAGGTATTATACAATATTTTGTCTCATATAATGCGATGTTATGTTTATTGAAACTGGATATAAATGTATTTATTTAACCTTCATTTTATCTGCAAGCATTTTCAATTTGTGTTCTTATTCTTGGTTTGATAATAATCACATTGTGATATATAACGACACAACATTACAGGTAATGTTTTGATATTTGTTGTAAATATTCAGTGTAAACTTGCGGGATAATAAATCGAATATACATATATTAACCCATTACTTCATGAGCATTTTGTGAAAAATGGCTGTTTTCATTGAAAAGTCTCCCGTTACAAGTTCAAATTGCTATAATACTATAAAAACTGCTTCAACACTAATCAAACTTGGCACAAATGTTGACTGGACCATTGCCCTTGCAACAACATGCTCAGGCTTAAATTTTCTGTTACCATGGCAACGAGGGGACATCTCAAAATTGCCAAAAAGCACTATTTTGCGTTGATTTTTTCCATCAAAATTGATTTCAAAGTGCTGCAACTTCTCAATGGATTGAGATAGAGTCAAATGCTTTTCAGCGTTGGTTACACGTTACCTTATGATCAATCTGGGGTCATTTACAGCCTCTCACAAGTCCAAAATTTTCTTGGCGATGAGGGGGACTCTGCCCCCCTTCAAACCCCCCCAAACAGAAGGGGGCACATCCCCCTTCTGGCAACCCCCCGATGTATCTTTTGGTTGGGGGCCGCGCCGAAAAAGGGGTCACTTTTTTACAACATTTCTCAAACAAAAAACAAGTGTTTGGGGCCTAAATAAGGCATTTTTTCATCATTTGAGACAACAAAAAGGGGGGGGGGTGAAAAAGGCGTTAAAAGGCGTGTATATGAAGTAATGGGTTAACAGAAAATGATGAAAATACTTGAAATTACCCTTAATCGCGTTTTTTCATGTTTAAACATGGTCTGTCATATAAATTTGAAGAAAAATTGTTGTTTTGTAGATTTTTTTATTTTTTTCATTAACCCATTACTTCATGAGCATTTTGTGAAAAATGGCTGTTTTCATTGAAAAGTCTCCCGTTACAAGTTCAAATTGCTATAATACTATAAAAACTGCTTCAACACTAATCAAACTTGGCACAAATGTTGACTGGACCATTGCCCTTGCAACAACATGCTCAGGCTTAAATTTTCTGTTACCATGGCAACGAGGGGACATCTCAAAATTGCCAAAAATCACTATTTTGCGTTGAGTTTTTCCATCAAAATTGATTTCAAAGTGCTGCAACTTCTCAATGGATTGAGATAGAGTCAAATGCTTTTCAGCGTTGGTTACACGTTACCTTATGATCAATCTGGGGTCATTTACAGCCTCTCACAAGTCCAAAATTTTCTTGGCGATGAGGGGGACTCTGCCCCCTTCAAACCCCCCCAAACAGAAGGGGGCACGGCCCCCCTTCTGGCAACCCCCTGATGTATCTTTTGGTTGGGGGGCCGCGCCGAAAAAGAGGTCACTTTTTTAACAACATTTCTCAAACAAAAACAAGTGTTTGGGGCCTAAATAAGGCATTTTTTCATCATTTGAGACAACAAAAAGGGGGGGGGGTGAAAAAGGCGTTAAAAGGCGTGTATATGAAGTAATGGGTTAACAGAAAATGATGAAAATACTTGAAATTACCCTTAATCGCGTTTTTTCATGTTTAAACATGGTCAGTCATATAAATTTGAAGAAAAATTGTTGTTTTGTAGATTTTTTTATTTTTTTCATTAACCCATTACTTCATGAGCATTTTGTGAAAAATGGCTGTTTTCATTGAAAAGTCTCCCGTTACAAGTTCAAATTGCTATAATACTATAAAAACTGCTTCAACACTAATCAAACTTGGCACAAATGTTGACTGGACCGTTGCCCTTGCAACAACATGCTCAGGCTTAAATTTTCTGTTACCATGGCAACGAGGGGACATCTCAAAATTGCCAAAAATCACTATTTTGCGTTGACTTTTTCCATCAAAATTGATTTCAAAGTGCTGCAACTTCTCAATGGATTGAGATAGAGTCAAATGCTTTTCAGCGTTGGTTACACGTTACCTTATGATCAATCTGGGGTCATTTACAGCCTCTCACAAGTCCAAAATTTTCTTGGCGATGAGGGGGACTCCGCCCCCCTTCAAACCCCCCCCCAAACAGAAGGGGGCACATCCCCCTTCTGGCAACCCCCTGATGTATCTTTTGGTTGGGGGGCCGCGCCGAAAAAGAGGTCACTTTTTTTAACAACATTTCTCAAACAAAAACAAGTGTTTGGGGCCTAAATAAGGCATTTTTTCATCATTTGAGACAACAAAAAGGGGGGGGTGAAAAAGGCATTAAAAGGCGTGTATATGAAGTAATGGGTTAACAGAAAATGATGAAAATACTTGAAATTACCATTAATCGCGTTTTTTCATGTTTAAACATGGTCTGTCATATAAATTTGAAGAAAAATTGTTGTTTTGTAGATTTTTTTATTTTTTTTATTAACCCATTACTTCATGAGCATTTTGTGAAAAATGGCTGTTTTCATTGAAAAGTCTCCCGTTACAAGTTCAAATTGCTATAATACTATAAAAACTGCTTCAACACTAATCAAACTTGGCACAAATGTTGACTGGACCGTTGCCCTTGCAACAACATGCTCAGGCTTAAATTTTCTGTTACCATGGCAACGAGGGGACATCTCAAAATTGCCAAAAATCACTATTTTGCGTTGACTTTTTCCATCAAAATTGATTTCAAAGTGCTGCAACTTCTCAATGGATTGAGATAGAGTCAAATGCTTTTCAGCGTTGGTTACACGTTACCTTATGATCAATCTGGGGTCATTTACAGCCTCTCACAAGTCCAAAATTTTCTTGGCGATGAGGGGGACTCTGCCCCCCTTCAAACCCCCCCAAACAGAAGGGGGCACATCCCCCTTCTGGCAACCCCCTGATGTTTCTTTTGGTTGGGGGGCCGCGCCGAAAAAGAGGTCACTTTTTTTAACAACATTTCTCAAAAAAAAAAACAAGTGTTTGAGGCCTAAATAAGGCATTTTTTCATCATTTGAGACAACAAAAAGGGGGGGTGAAAAAGGCGTTAAAAGGCGTGTATATGAAGTAATGGGTTAAGTGTACTTTATGACTTTACAGAGTCCTCTCCATTGAAATATAGCTCTGTGGGGAAACGTATGATTTCCAAAAACTATCTCACTGTTTCTACACGGATTTATGAAAAAATCAAATCAGTCGTATGGGTATTGAGTTATCTTTAGTTTTTGCCATAATTTATTGTCCAATCGGAATGACGCCAAAATTTTAAAAAAGAATGTTTTTTTCTACTTATTTAAATGTTGCGATACGATAGTTGGATAAGATACTATGTTATAGAGGCTTATAAGAAAAAAATATGTGTCGCTCCAACGTCGCTTTTTTGAGCTGTTTAAATTGTTATTTTTTTCTTATTAGTGTACAATCATTACTTTATAAATAACTTGACCTTAAAATCTGCATACAAAATCTTACTTAAATAAATTCAGTGAGTTATAAAATTAAATCGATGAAATAGGTTTAAATGAAATTGCTCTATGTTTGGTCTTGTAATAAAATCCAGTTCATAAGATTGTGTATATTTTATAATGTTTGGTTAAGTTTTTGTAAAACAAGACAAACGAGATAACAATTTAGGTCAGCTTATTCGGATTGCATTGAATAACTCCTTTTAATGTATTATATTGTCAAATGATATATCCCCTTCATTTTATCGCTAAATAAAACCACTCTTGAAATGAGATGAATTATATTACGAGGGCGTAACTCGGGTAACATAATGCTGCGCATCCGAGCTGTCAGTCAACAAATACATGCTGCAAGACCTGATATAAAGCTTAATCGCGCGTTCTTATTTCAGCGCATCGCATTTTATAACTCTTAATATAGATTGTCAACAGTGATTTTATTGCATATATATGCACAATTTCGGTCCTTAAATAGAGATAATGCGGGTTGTGTTAGAATATCTATTTATTCATTCGTGTTTGGTGGTATTTATTCGTCTTATAACTTCTTTATATCTGCAGCGACTTTATTTTATTTTAAAACAACACAAGGCCTTAATCCGTTTAGATTATCAATGAAAGTATGACTTTAAGCTTCAAATGACGTGGACCTTCAAGGTAAAATAGTTGAAGTTTCATTTAGCTATCTAAATAAACATTAGGTCTGATTTTTTGACCTGTCAATTATGAATATACTATAGAACTCATTCAGATATTCGATTTCACTTCGGCATTGTTCGTTCGTGTAGTTTACGAGAATAAATATGGAGTATATAACTGTTTTGAAAAGGTATATCATCTTAATGTATATCCGCAATAGTCGGTTAAGTCATGGCCCAATATATGAGATGTCTGTGGTTCGATCCCTACTGTTGCCATCGTTTTAGACCTAATCTTTCTTTATTTGTGCAGTATATGAATGTATATAAATGACATTTGTTGATTTTTATCTGATTTAATTTCAAATATTAATTCTTAAACCTTGTTACTTAAAAAAAAGTATGGACTTTTCCAAAATAATCTCAAAACATATTAAAAACAAGAACCGGTTGAACCGGGTGATGTTCCTCGAGAAGGTTTTGGACACAGGAAAGTATAAAAAAAATGAAAAAGGTCAAAAGCTCTAAAATAAGACAAGACAGAGTTATGTTTTTTGGCACTGCACTTTCATTCAATAATACCTATCTTTCTATAAAGTTTCGTGATGATATTTCTTAAAGTTTCAGAGTTATGTCCCGAGTAAAATTCAAAGTGTAAAAATGAACAAAGGGCAATAACTCCAAAATAACACAAGGTTGTGTTTAGGTTCTTTAGCATTGCAGTTCTATCAAATTATATCTATCTACCTACAAAATTTCATGTTGATATCTCTAATAGTTTTAGAGTTATGTCCCGGACAAAAGTCAAAAAATAAAAAATAAACAAAGGGCAATAACTTGAAAAAAAGGCAAGGCAGAGTTATGGTTATTTAACACTGCACTTCTGCCTAATGAGACCTATCTACGTACAAAGTTTGATATTGATACCTATTATAATTTTAGAGTAATGTCCCGGACAAATTTCAAAGTGTCAAAACTAACAAAGGGCAATAACTCCAAAATAAGGCAAGGCAGAGTTATGGTTCTTTAACAAGTCTCTTCTACTTAAACAGATATATCTACCTACAAAGATTCATGTTGATATCTCTTATAGTTTAATAGTTATGTCCCGGACAAAGTTCAAAGTGTAAAAATGAATAAAGGGCAATAATTCAAAAATTTGGCACGACAGAGTTACGGTACCTGTGCATTGTACCTACTTAATGAGATCGATCTACATAGAATGTTTCATGTTGATACCTCTTATAGTTTTAGAGTTATGTCCTGGACAAAGTTCAAAGTTTAAAAATCAGCAAAGGGCAATAATTCAAAAATTAGACAAAACTTACCGTATAAGTACTTTTTACTTCGGGAATTTTATTTCTGCTATTTCTGCGGTTCTTAAGGACACCGCAGATTTAAAAACCGCAGAAAATTAAGTTTTTCCCTATGTCTATGTCGGAATATATCAACTTGTATTGTATAATTACATTACCATGTACCGTTATCGGTATTGTAGATGGGAAATGTTCTTTATGTATCCGTCATGAATTAAATATTAGAAAAAAAAACGTTACTTTACTTGCTCATTTTGTTTAAATAAATATCATGTTTGTATGATTTTCGCTCACCCTAGGCTTGATTTTTTTTGCAAAATTATTTGTACTATTATAGTTTGTCGGGTGCAATAAACATACGCTTTTGTATTTGTACAATATCTTGTGTCTACGTGCGACTTTACCATTGTTAATTTTTTACACGTCATATGTATACACATGCAGTATTACGATTAATTGTATTCATATCACGTTGTTGATTTTTGTTTATTTATGTTTATATACCGATACATGATGATTGCGATAAAACACTTTAAAAGTCGTCTGCATGTTTACCGGAAGTAACGTACAGGTTACATTAAAAAATCTTGAAATGTTGTCTCTTTTTTGTAAAAATATCTGAATTAAAACGCAGAAATAAAACACATCAATGCGAGACTGAATGATGACACCGCAGAAATAAGATACGCAGAAATAAAAAAAAACCTTATTTTAACAAAAATCGCAGAATATTAAGACCGCAGAAATAAGTACATGTACTTACACGGTAAATTAAACCACATCTTACTGCGTACATCTCACGGAACATACCGAAAATCTGTCAAAGATTACTATATATTGTGTGCATTGACCGTATAATCAGTATGTAATTGACAGATTCATAAACTCAAACAATACAAATTTGTAAGAAATGGACTGATTTGATTCATTATAAAAATGCTAAGATAAAACAAGACGAAAACAAAACAGATCTGTTGAATAATATAAGTATGACATTGACTTTATAAATTACCTCGACCGTCAATTTCATTTAAATTTGATAAATTTGCCATAGCTTTAAATGGATTAATTTGTTTCTCGTTTGACTTAACAACTCCTTAGGAAAGTTAAACAATTCAGGTATGAATTACCTTGACCTTCAACGTCAAGTAAGTGAATTTTCATAAAATGGACAAAAATTGTACTATTTAACCGTTTATATTCATACTTTGCTGAGTAATAAAAAAGTTACCTTATCTTTCGTATGACATTGAAACACTGAAAACGAGACTCTAGCAATGATTTTTCATTTGATAAAAAGAAAAAGTAAAGTGTGACCCCTGGATGAGGTGGTTCTTGTTTCAGGAATAAAAAATGTATGCTGGAGTATCCATCACCTTAAGTGATAATCCTAGTGCTTCGTGTTTTTCTTTCTTTTTTTATTCTTAAAAGGAAAAGCTAAATTGATGTGCTGATAATCGACCGATTATGCAGAAACTGTTTATTTACTTTTTCGACCCATGCAGTTTGTTAAATAATTATGCAGTTTTTAACTAATTTAGGTACAAAGGGTAGTTTTTGAAAGTATGGTAAATCATTTTATATGCTATTTTATTTTACTTTCCTTTTATATAGAATGGCTATGTCACGTAGTTTCAAAGAATGTGGAAGTGATGAAGCTAGGGATGATGATGATGATCCAGACAATTGCTCTCATTGTGCTACCGATGGAAAACTGCAACCAGCATTGTACTTCTGTTTTAATTGTGGCGTGTATGGTAGATACATGTGTGGCATTTGCCTGAAGCAACACAACCGGTTTGTGAAGAACCATGAGATAGAAAAAATTGCAAATAGATCAGCCACTAATAGGTATTCATTTCTGTTTGTAGCACTGTTGATGCAATTAACGTAAAATACTATTTTTATTTGTAAGAATTTAAGTTTAAAGTGTATGTTTTTTCAAACGAGTAGGTTTCATGCTTTTGAAAGACCAAAAAAGTGAAGTACTTACAATTTTACAGCTGCCATACTCGACTTAGCTGTTGCTTTATAAAGAAGGAAAAGAAAAGGAAGGTTCTTGGTGAAAAATAAATTAAGAAAATATACATATACATAAATATATATAAAGAAAAAGAATCGCATTATGAAATAATATTAAATAAATTTTAAAAACATGAAAAATTGTCAGCTAATATATTTTTGGAGACGGATCTATTTTATGGTCGAGTGGAGTCGCCATCCACCCTGTTTCGTTCGGATGGTCGATATCGTATATATTGACGTCGTTGGGAACGCTTTGCTGATGCATGCGTTACTGAGGTAGATAGATTCGGTGGTTGCTTAGTATGGTCTTGTTTGGAATATCTTACTGTGTTAAGTCACCCTTTGTTGGATTGGAATTTTAGCGCCGTCAGTTAAAGGGAGGAAAACCTCTGTCCGTAAACTGTTCCTTTGGACAATCAACGTAGCCTCATTTTACGACAAGACAATGACCGACCATATTATGAGTGAGTTTGTGGACAGTTTCTGGCGAATACATACAGTCATTTGACTGGCCAACTACCATATATTCTAGATACGTCTTTAATCAAATATCTATGGGACAGACGGAACAGGAGGAAAATATGGCGTCCAAACATACAACCACGATCGAGCAACTGTGAAAAGACTTGTTGTAAGAGTGGAGCAATATCTCTATGAGAAAGATAAACATCCTTTGAATTCAGTGCACATGAGCAATGACTGTGATAGCTGCGGGAGGAGGACATACCGTAACGCCGAATTGAATTAATTCCAAAAACTCTCAAAGTAAAGGTCAAGGTCTATGGAAATTTTCCGAACTAATTCATAAAAGTTTGTTTCAGATAAATTAGGAAACACCATTTAATACCATTGATATAAATAACCTTAAATCACCGCTAAATTCTTAATTTGGGTACATATGATTTTATTAGTTTCGCCTTTTTCTCTTACATATGCCTTCATTTATTTCGGGACCATACGCTGCTTTTCATGAAATGGCACGTACGTGTCGCAATAAAGGTTTCATGATCAGAGACGTATGAACATATTTGCAGATACCATTTTATCGCATACCCGTGCCAATTTTGAGACTCCTTAAAATGGTATTTAAACGGCCATGCATGTATTTTAACGTCATTTACGACACACAAACACAGTTTTAAGACGAGCTAAATGTAAGCATTTTCACTTTAAGCGCGTCAACGAAAATTATTATTTTGCACTTTAAACAGTTTTTATTTCGGGTATGTGATACATAGAATATCATATTCGTGTTGTTCCATTACTGAATGTATAGAATTATATTTTGCTTGCCAGAGACTTGCATAGTAAAGTTTTATTCAACTCGTTCAATATATTAAGTAATTAACGTACACTTATTTAATACCCTCTATATAATACGTTGATACTGCTTAAGCCGATGCCGGGAGCTTACACATATCAGTACCGTTCGGTGTTGGCCTGGTAAATTTTCGTATTCTTTGTTCTATAGCGAATCAGTCACATTTGAGGCTTAATTCTGGATTTCACTGTTCTTGATGAATTATATACTGTCTTCAATTTTAAGCATCAACACTTTCTAAGTCAAATAATGCCCAAAATATAATAGGTTAGCCATCTACTTTTTTCAGAAATCTTCATTATGTTTTTACACTGTTTAAATTCACCACTTTGAAAACTCCTGACTGCTGGTGGATAGTACATTTTTAACCCTTCCGCCAACAAATGAGTTCCTGGAGAATACACAAAAACAACTTTATAAGTCATCCTATAACAAACAAAAACTACACACATGCAATAAATACACTTTAATTATGACCAATCTAACTAGAGATGACTTAAATTGGGCCACTTTAAAATTTTAAAGAACTACTTTCTAGACTAAGCCGGATTGGGTCTAATTCTGTACCAGGTTGAGACCGTTCTTGAACAGGCACAAATAACCGAGTATTGAAAAATTTGCCGTTTTGGACCTTCTTCTGAGAAGAGTTTTCTATTGCAGCTGTTAAAAATTGCCAAACCCTAGAACTTTGTTTAATTGCTACTTTTCTTTAAGCACATCGATATTCTTTTATTTTAAGACTTGCTTTTTTTCTGTTGCAGCTGTTAAACTGGCCAACCCAAGAACTTTGTTAAATTGCTACTTTTCTTTAAATCCATCAGGATTCTTTGATATTTTATAATATTGACACCTTAACCCGAGCTAGGGGACTTGAGAGATGGTGCATTTTCCATTGTATTTCGTATGAGTTTTAGGATTGTTAGGAAACTGAAAAGCAAGGTAAAGAAAGGTCGGTGTCCGACTAACGCGCCAATCTTACCTTAAATATGTACATATGGGCTTATGAGGTCTGTCTTTACCACCAGTAAAGTTGGCAAGTCGTCATATGACTTTAACAATGTCAAGTGTTGGTGTTCCCTCAATTTTCTTGAAAATTTTCTTAAAACGAAGGAAACAACAAAAGCATCGGTTTTAAGTTGAACGTTATACAGATATATGTAAAAAAAATGCCATTTTAAGATGAAAATAAGTCAATTAATTTACAATGTTGGTATAAACGTCCGTATGTGTAATTTTTAAAAAGAAAATAATAAGCAAATAAGCCGGATCGGAGCAGAAAAAAAATTGTATGTTTCACTACATTTAAATTTTATAATTGTAGTTCTTAGTTGCAAACTGTACAAAGCCACTTCCAACTTATTTGTTTCTTAAAGTGGAAAATATTTACCCGTATTTGACAAGATTGTGTGAGGTAGTGTTGTTGCTTTCATTGCTTCCGGAAGGTGATACGATTAATCTCTTCAAATTTTTTATATTTTTTTAAGCATGTGAACACAAAGTATGAAGCGTATCAATAAGTTATATTTACAGATTAGATTATGAGAACAAAAAGACAATGAAAGTTGAAAAAGATCTTAAGTCCAAAGAGGCAGAGGTAATGCTGTTAGAGGAACAAGTCAATGAATATTCAAAGGTAAACCAATGTCACCAAGAAAGAATTAAAGATTTGGAAATTGCATGTCAAAATTTGGAAAAAGAAAAAAAATATGGTGAAGAAATGGCAACTAGAAATTTAGAGCACTTGCAAAACATTCTTAAAGACGGAAAAAAGACAGCTGCTGACGAGTACAAAAAGCTCTTAGCAAAAATGGACAATTTACAAGACAGGTATCTTAATCCAATTTGTACTACATCATTTAAATAGTTTTTAAAAACCCTTTTAAATATATCAATAATTTTTAATGTCAGCAAAAACTTATTTTATCATCTTAGCAGTATTGGAATATTATAGTTTGCCCTTTCTAATCGTCAGCTGATACTTTATCGTTTATTTTCCGAATCATCACATGTTATTCAATATCATATTTTTTCTTACCCTCCCTCTTACTGCGATTGTTTTGCTTGTATTTGACAAGACTTTCATTGCATAATTTTTATCATTTGAAATGGTGAATTTTCCATCTTGTTGTGCAGAATATTTCATGCTTTTGACTTTATCATTCCTATAAAAGTGTTTGAAAGCCGCTAAGAGAGTAGTGGCAGAAATTGTTATTTTTAGTTTGTCTGTCTGTTAAACCAGACATCATGTGAATAGATTGTATGAAAAATAAATCATCAAACCCGGTTGGTTATAACTGCAAATGTAAATTGAAATTAGTTTTGAAATATTTTTTTTGAGTTATAAAGATAAAAATGTATAAAAAAACAGCATCGTAAACAATATTAGAAGATTATAATTCCGTTTGTCTTTCTTAATCATTTGTATGCCCTCCAAATATCATTCTGATTGACTCCATAGCCTCGATTTGAATAGGTTTAAGTCCTACCAAATCCAGAGATGTGCGACTAGTCATAAAAATTGTAATATACCATCCATATTCATTTTATCTCCAAAAATTTTGTATACAAAATATGTTTGCCTTCATCGTTTGTTCGGCTTCTTCATCAAACTGCTGGTTGGATTTCAATAAAACTTCAAAGGAGTGATCAATACAACTCCTAGTTGTGCACATCGCAGGCGTTTTCCTCTTCGCTGCACAAAGTGGCGCCAGGGCTATAAATAGGAAAGTCTTGTTCCGCTTTCACAGGTCAAACTGCTGGTGAAATTGCAATTAAACTTCACAGAAGTGATCAGTGTCATACATTGTTGTTCATATTACAGCACGTCCCGCTTCGTTTAACAAAATGGCCGCCAGAGTTATCAATAGAAAAATCTTGTATAGCTTTCACAGGCCAAACTGATGGCGGGAACTCAATGTTATTCCAAAGGAGTGATCCGTACTGTTCCTTGTTTTTCTATATCGCCGGCTTATTCTGCTTCGATACACAAAATGGCCGCCAGGGTTTCAAAATGTAAAATATTGTCCAGCTTTCACAGGTCAAACTGATGGCGGGAACTCAATGAAACTTCACAGGAGTGTCCATTACCATGTTTTGTTGAGCATATCCCATTCATGTTTTGCTTCTCTACACAAAATGGCCGCCAGAGTATATCAAAGAAAAGTCTTATCAAGCTTTCACAGGTCAACTGCTGGCGGGATTCCAATGAAACTTCACAAGAGTGACCAGTACTATCTCTCGTTGTGCATATCGCTCACACGTTCTACTTCGCTGCACAAAATGGCCACCAAGATCCGTTTGTTCAAAACATTGGTTAGTGTTAACCAGTGGTTAAAATCATTATCCGCTGGTTAAATTTTGTCTGCTTGCTGGATAAATTCTGTTGCTCAAAACTTATCCAATGGATAAAATGTATTATCCAGCGGTTAACTTTAACCAGTCCTATGACCACCGGATAATGCCCTTAACCAGTGGTTAGTCATCATCATTAAAACAGTAAAAATCATTAAAACTTGTTTAAAACAAGATTTTTGTTGCAAATATATGTTTATTTTTCTTAACTAAAACATTTAATATAAAATGCATAGGGTTAAATTGAAACATTTCTGAAAAAGTGCTTTTAGAACCCTTTTTGAATCTAAATTTGTTGTTGTTGTAGTTCAGAATATTCAGTTAAACAGTCATAACTTTCTTATTTTTTAATAAAACACACAAGTGTCACTACTCATTTTCTTAGTTAGAACATAACTCATCTAATGGAAGTAATTTCAATTCAAAATTTGAAGAAAACAAAATTTGAATTTTTTCTTATGTGTGTCTAAGGGAAAAATAAATACTTTAAGGCCTCTGATATACTTCTTGTGAAATTCCAAAACCAAGAAAGCACAAAACATGCAAAATTATTTTTTGGGAGCTTTTTGATTCTAATAAATTTATTATATATTAAAAAATCAGCCATTTTGTTTCCAGAATCACTAACCAACCCTGTTGCATTGTGGTACTTAACCAGTGGATAAATACGCAATCCACTGGTTAGGTAGCCAGGGTACTATCCAACTATTGAACAATGAAATTTTATCCACTGGATAGCTGGCCGCTGGTTAAGGATTTAGCCAGTGGATAAGCTATCCATTGATTAATTTAAACCAATGTTTTGAACAACCCGGTCCTGAGCTTTAAATAGAAAACCTGGCCTTGTCCGGCTTTCACATGTCAAACTACTGGCGGGAATGAATCTTCAGTGGAGTGATCACTTCCATCCCTAGTTGTGCATCTCGCAGGCGTATTCTGCTTCGCTAAACAAAAGGCCGTCAGAGCCTAAAATAGAAACATCTTGTGCTGGTTTAAATGTCAGACTGCTGTCGGGTTTTCAATGAAATTTTACAGGAGTGGTCAGTACCATCTTGTACAGCTTTGACAGGCCAAGCTGCAGGCGGGATGTCATGGCAAATTCACAGGAGTGATCAGTACCATCTTTGGTTGTGCATATCGCTGGCACATTCAACCTCGCTGCACAAAATGGCCACCAGAGCAGAGCTATAAATCAAAAACTGTCCTGCTTTCACATGTCAAGCTGCTGGTCAGATTTCAATTAAACTTCACAGAACTGAGCAATGCCTAAGTGATACCTTGTTGTGCATTTTCGCCAGCATGATCTGTTTTGTTGCGCAGAAGACGATCAGAGCTAAAAAACAAACTCTTGTCCAGCTCTCAAAGGTCAAACTACTGGTAGAATTCCATTGTAACGCACAGGAGTGATCAATACCATACCTTGTTGAACATTTCGCTGGCATGTTCCTCTTTGCTTCACAAAATGGTCACAGAGCTTTAATAGAAAGATCTTCTCTAGCTTTCACAAGTCAAACTGCTGGTTGAATTTCAATGAAACTTCACAGGAGTGACCAGTAATATTCCCAGTTGTGCATTTCGCCGGCATGTCCCGCATCGCTGCACAAAATGGCAACCAGATGCTTTAAATAGAACATTTTGTCCAGCATTCCCAGGTTATTCTGCTGTCGAGATTTCGACATTACTTCACACGGGTGATCAGTATCTTCCTTAGTTTTTTCATGTTGCCGGCACGTTCCGCTTCGGTACACAAAATGGCCAACAGAGCTATAAAATAAAAAAAGATCCTGTCAAGTCAGTGATTTATGCCGTCCAGCTAGCTCAATGGGTAGAGCGCTGGATTGTGAATCTGGCGACCCAGGTTTGATTCCTGGACGGCGCAGGTAACTTTCTTTGTAATTACTCATTCGCACTGCACCTCTGCTCTACAGAAGTAGCCAGTTCTTTGCGGAAGTTGTATGTCAAAAACATTTCATACACTGCGACTTCAATTATCTGAAACCCGTTTCATTCAAGCATCGGCTATATATAGAGAGAGACACTCACCATAGCTTTATTATCTGTAAATGTTATTGCTTTTATTTTTATTATTATCTTTCGTTCAAAATACAATTTACTTTAATGCCAGTTAAATGACTGAATTCGTCAGAAGTATCGTGTTGATAGCAATCTTTTCCTTTAGCAGAACGTATAAATGTGCCCGCGACAAATCACTTCAAAATTAACAGTCACAAACCAGAAGTCATCAGTCAAAAGTCAGAAGTGAAGTCCATGGCTTTCACTATTAGTCTGAGCATAACCTATCACTTCTTTTAAACACTTTGAAACATCAAATTTGAATTTCTTTGAATTTCATACATAGATTAGTTTGAGGAGTTGAAACTTGAAGATATGCAAAAGATGACTAAGAAATATACTCAAAATTAATTCAAAAATTGTAATTTTGTCCTAATTTTTTTTAGCCCAATTTTGGATAGTTTTTCAAAATTAGATTAATTTTCTTGGAAAAATGGAATAAGCGAATGATCTTAAACTTTAAACACAAGTTATTTAAGACCTACATCAAATAGAGCATTAATCTAGAAAAACTATTTCCATTCCCGTCATGTCAAATAACCTTAGTGGAGTCCCTTTAAGATAGATAATGGAGTCCCTTTAAGATAGATAGTGGAAAGATGTAAAACATAAAAAATAATTCTGCTATTATTGTAATGTAGGGTATATAATAGAAACAGCAGTAACACACGAGGCTATCTGATTTGTTAGAGGGGCATAGCCGAGTGTTCTGATACGCTTTTACATCATAGGCAAAAATAAAAACACATTCACTGTCGTCACAATATAAAACCCCCAAAAAAGTAAACAATGAACGAGCATTCGAATATGACAGTTCTATCTTTATATTTTTCCCTTTCCTGTGGTCGAAATCAGTGAACCCCAGAAAAAAATGAGCCAATCCACGAGAATGCTTAAGACAGACATTGAGAGCGGGTAACTAATGCCTGTACTCCAGATAACACATTGTGCATGCATTGGTATACGATAAAACTCTGACACGTTTTCCAAACTATGATAATTATACTTGTTTATAATAAATGCTGAATAGTATGCTAAAATATTGAAACATATTTTTATGTTTGCTTGAAGGGCACAGGAAAAGGATTTAAAGATTAAATCGTTGCAACATTCAAATGAAGAGCTACAAAAAGAAAATGCGGATTTATTCACTGATTTAAAGCAAGTTAAATGGGAGAATGAAAATTTATCGAAAGAACTCAATGAATGTAAAAAAGTCTTAGCTCTAGAGGGAGAAAAATTTGACCTGAAGACGAAAATACAAGCATGTGAACGTGATACAAAGAGAAAGGGAAGCAAGCTCATTTTCAAAGGAAAAGATGATACACACACAAGGTAATTAATTCATAAAAAATTACCTTTCAGCTAATGATATTGGAAAATATTCTAGTATACGATTTTAATTTCAATTACCGTGCACCCTAACTGGTGCAAAAGTTGATTTTATCTATTTTATACAGTTTTAACGGTTGTTAATCTGACTAGGATAGTGATAAGAAATAATTAATAAAAATGAATACAAGACTTAACATAAAAGTATAAAACAAGACATTTTTCTGTTTAAATGACAGTTTTTCAAGATTAATACAGATTAGGATATGCTTATTTCATTTATTATACAAAAGAACTTTAAGTGTAGATGAGAATTTTTTGTTGTGCTTGTCATTTATTCGGTCAATTAAATGTGTTTACAATCCTGATTTATATTCAATTTTATTTACGTTTACATTGTAAAAGTATCGATTTTTATTGTGTCGATTTATTTATAAACATACTCTTAAGATCATAACTACTAAGATCGTGTTTAGATTTATAAAAACTTTTGAAATTATATTCGAAAAAAAGGGACTTTTTTTTTCAAAAGAGATTCTTAATCAAATATTCGATCTGTAGACTTACGCCAGATGGAAGATGACTACATAAACTGTTTTCATATTATGAATACTAAATGCTATTTAACAAGTTATTTAAAATGTATTACATAGAATGCTGTGTTTTGGTTTGTTTAAAAAAACCTTATGATATGTTAGCGACCTCTTCAAAATATGATTATTAGATCAATGCACGACCAGATAAAAAATTGAACACAAACTTTTTTCACATTATTGGTCTTTAATGCTATTTGACAAGTAAAACTTGTTCAATTTTCAAGATTTTTATATTCAATTATTGACCATCTAAAAAGTGTGCACTTGTCCTTTTAGAAGATTGCTTCAATATATAATTGGATCTAACAGATTACTTTTAAGCTACTGATAGCTGGTAATGTATGATAGCAGTCCTCTTTCCTTAATTATATTTTTTCACAAATGTTATATAGATATTCAAGACCAAGGGAACTATCTGATGGCAAGTTACACAGTTGTGATATAAGAACGATAGAAAATAAGCTTGTTGTGGGTGGTCTTGAAATTGGCAATAAAGGAAGCTGTTATGCTTCATCCTTAAAACAAGACAGATATCCTTTACTTGTGCAAACCAACAATGCCTGGGATTGTCAAAACGCCGGGAGACTTTCAAAAACAAATCACTCTGCCGTGTTATTCGATGAGAATAAACAGTTTCATAGCTTTGGTTTCGAAGCACAGACAGCTTATGTACACTTAATGGAAGATGATGAACATCACAAGTGGTTTTACTTCGAAAACTTTACAAAAGAGATGTAAGTTTGATTTTTCTTATGTGTTCAACCATATTTATTCTTTAACAAAATTATCATTTTTTTTTTAATTTTTACTCAATATGAAAAACAAGCTATAAATACATGTACTACAAAGAGCTAATATGCACACACAAAATGTTGATTTAGCAACTAGCGTTTTAATACACATTGAAGTACATTTTTTTCTTATGTGTATTTTCCGCGTAGTACTAGCTATATCTATATAAATGAGTTATCTCATCGTACAAAAACCCATCGTACTCTTACATATTTGGACATCAAGACGTCGGCATATGTCTGTACACAATTGTATTTGCTATGCAACTATATAATGAGTATCTACATCAGTTGTAAGTTGAAATATTATCCATCATTCACGATATGGGCTTTGATCATATGCCTTTTTAACCACCACAAAATCAGTAACTATCAATTTACTTTCAATAACGTTAACCTTTTCGCTATTGAAACCAAACTAAAATGAATTCAAGGGAATATGTGTAGGTCAGAGCTTCACAAGATCCACACAAAAGTAAATATCTCTAACATTTTTGTAAAATATTCTCACTCTGACAGGTGTTTACATTCTAAAATTTCTATGAAATCAATGTTTAGAGGTAAACTATTTAGAAGACACAGAGAAAGTCTCGATACCTTTCGCGTGGGTGCTCTGCCGACATATATTCAGATCCGAATCCCATATTTGACAGATTCGAGAGATCAGCATATCGCTATGACCGATAAATCGATAGAAGCGATATCGATACAAATGGAGTTTACTATGTATTGATTCGAAAAAATAACCTAATGAAATACCCTTTTTGTAATATGATTTATTATTAAAGGTCTTCATAAATTGATTACAATTTTACATATCTTTTCCTCCCGTTTTCTGCCATTTAGTTTTAACAATCAACAGATAACACGGAATATAGAGATTGATGATTACAAAGGTAGGAAGATGAAAGCTATTGACGTGTTTGGTGCAGCCATTAAATATCTAAAAGATCATCTGCTAGACCAGGTTAACAGAAGATTGACGGGTGTACAGAACAATGACATTCACTGGGTTTTGACTGTGCCCGCTATATGGACAGACTCAGCTAAACAATTTATGAGGGAAGCGGCATATTCGGTGAGACCACCTTTATACATTATGCTGGTATTTAAATAAGGAAATCTTCAAAGTTAACTTTAAAATATATTTCAAACATAGAAATTCTTAGGTCGTAAATAGACATGGCAATCAGTATTATTACATTGGATCTTCCGAAAAATGATAACTGTACTTTATTTCGCGACAATCGTGGCAAATGTACACGTATCATCTACCTACAGACTAGTCTAAGAGTCAATAATCGTAGAATGAACACTGAAGCAAAATGTTCATTGACCACGGAGCTATAGCCTCGGTCAATATGACATATACTGTCGTGGTAAATTAGTAAAGTGACCCTATCATAATAATAACCCCTCGGTTAATAAACAACATTTGGCTTACATTTTCTTTGACTTTTATGTGAGCTTGATCTTACCATTGAGTCATTGACCTGTGTCCTAATTTTAGTTTCAAGTTTCGTATCTGCTCTAATGGCTTGCTTTTTTAGATTCTCATAATTATCATGAAAAGTTCCAGCATCTCTTACGCCTTCTAGCACAGGTTTAAACTGTATTCAATTCAATAGAAACGGGACAATATTCAATATTTTACTGTAACACTGTCCGACTTTATTACTGACATTAACCAGCATTTTGTGTGATCATTTTAAGTAGATCTACTCCGCATTATTTTATCAAATGTTTAGTACTTATGATTATTTGGTATAAGCTTAAGTATATTGGAAATACAGTATTCAGTGGAATCTTTGAAAGTTATAGCCAACTAATGATTGATGAACTGAACGTTTTTCTACGTTTGAGTAAGATGTTTTGCTTTTCCTAGTGCGTGCTACTTGAAATATATTGAATGCTCTTTTCTGAGAAGAGTGAGAAGTTTATTAAGTTTTATATTATTTATACATATATTCGTGTTAAGGGGTCATACTACATAATAGCCTGGGTCAACATTCATTAAGTTGAATGACAGAGAGAAATATGACACTCCTTCATAATGAAAGACAGGAATATTTACGTTAAATACTGTACAGAATGTTGACCTAACCATATATAACAAGAGCTGTCCGTAAGACAGCGCGCTCGACTTTTTTATTGCTTGCCAATAAAAAAAGTTTTTGCAGTAAAAGGCAATACAAGAATCTCTGTATTTTTAAAGTGAACAATGGCCATGAGCATTAAGATATTTAGTGAAGAATTAATGTTTATATGACATAATTTATGGTAAAGTGAACAAGTGGATAGGAATGAATTTTTTTAGATTTTTTAAGTTTTTTAGTGCTTGCCTATAATACAAAACATTGACAGTTAAGGGCCATAATTCAAATAAAATCTTTGACAGAATTACCTTCTCCTGGACATGTTTGGGAATCATGATTGTAAACAAGTATTCCAACTTTCAAATTAATATCTCAAACAGTTCAGTCAAAAAGTGGACTGGTACTAAAAACTTAACCAAGATTGTAAGTCGATAAAAGGCCTTAATTTTTAAAACAAATCCTTGACAGAGTTACCTTCTCTTGCGTACAGATGGGGGTAATGATGTGAAATAGCATTAAAAGTTTCAAAGCAATATCTCAAAGGGTTAAGGCAATAAGTGGATTTTACCCATATTCAATGTATTTTCTAAGTCAAAAAGGGGCATAATTCTGTCAAAAACCTTGACAGAGTTATGTCCTCTTGTCTGTTGATGAAGGTCGTGATGGTAAACAAGTATGGTCAGTTTCAAAGCAATACCTCCAATGGTTTTTGAAATAAAGTGAGGTGGTACAAAAAACTTAACCAAGCTCAATACACTTTCTAAGTCAAAAAAGGGCCATAATTCTGTCAAAAACCTTGACAGAGTTTATGTACTCTTGTCTGTAGATGGAGGTTATGATGGTGAACAAGTATGGTAAGTTTCAAAGCCATACTTGTAATACTTCTGAAATAAAGTGGGGTGGTACGAAAAACTTAACCAAGGTGTGACGCCAACGCCGACGCCGACGCCGACGCCGGGGCGAGTAGGATAGCTCCCCTTTTCATAGAAAAGTCGAGCTAAAAATGAAATTAAGTGAATAATATTAAACTTCTGCAAAAGATGTTTATTATATACCGAACGTTTGCTCAACATAATAAGTTAATAAATAACTTTATCCGTTCTCCTCCCATTTACCCGAAAAGAAGCCGGATGTAACAAAATGTAAAATTTCTGATTTTGTTATAAAAAGTTACGTACGTTTCTAGGGATGCATACTTAATAACTACACTCAATCTTAGAAATAAATGTATTTTATTGACCCGTGTCAGATTTTAAGAGGAAACATGACCCCTTCATTATAAAATAATGACTAACTTGAACCATATTAATTTTATGAAACTTTATTTGAACCACTCTAAAGTTCGTTTCCTTGAAGTATCCTGACCTGGTTAGTTTGAAGAATCATAGTCGTGACCCCAGTAAGGCAGGAACCCGTGATCCAGACACTTGTCCACCGCTTCCCTAAAAATATTGGTTTGGATAAATATTTAAGTCTTTATCTTCTGTAGAAAATTAAATCCTAATGATATAAATTTATTTTACATAAACAAAAAGTACAACATGTAATTGATGGTTTTGTTCCATTAAATGTTATACAGTTTACCCACAAGAAGTAATGTTATAACCAAATGAGGAGAAATCATTCTAGTATTTAAGTATTTAATTTCTAATATTTAAGTTTTCCTTTTAGCATTTCTTCATTATTTTCTTGTTTATTATGAAAAGGGTTAACTTTGAAAATGACAACAAATGACAGAAGAGGGCATTTTTTAATCGGTGACGATTCTTCTCGCGGTTCTTTATGGGAGGTCAAGATACTTCGAATGGGTGTCAAAGTAGGTCACTAGGTCAAAATGCTGGTCATCTTATGTCAAAATTCAATTCTACGTTTTAACTATATACATATAAGGAAATCATATACCTGATTCAGGCCACTTTTGACCCTATGACTATAATTTCAACAATTTTGGTAAAGGCTTGCTAGACAATTTTGCATACCAAATATGTAAGGGGTCGCCTAGTCCTTGCTTATTTGGAGTGCACGATTTTTAAAGTTTTTACTATATCTATTTAAGGAAAACCAAAGATCCCCAGGGAATTTTAACAAACTTTGAAGAAACCTGCTGAACAATGTGATTTATCAAATATCAAAGCTCTTCCCTTGGCATTTTTATGAGATTTTTTTTGGTAAGTTTCTATAACAGTGAATATGCATATAATGAAAACCCATGACACCTTGGGCGAAGCCAATTTCGACCCTAAAGCCATAATTAGAGCTTGGAATCGACCTGCTAGACAATGTTGCATACCAAATATTAAAGAGTGTTTCAATAAGCTTATAGCTTCCAATACAATCGAACTTAAATAAATTTGTAATAAAGAATATCTAAAGGGGAGGACACTAGTACTTGTTGGTTTAAGGTAGCTGAATCTAAAGTGATTAATGTTGCAAGAACTTGTTTCGCAATCGAGCTTAAATAAATATGATAAAAACAAATTCCTAAACTCCTGTCCCTTGGGTTTGGAAGCATGTGTTTAAGTTGTGTTTTTTTCGGTTGCGATGGCAACAAGACTTCTGCATGGAATGAAAATCTTTGAACAATTACGTACTCACAACATCGGCCGCCTGGTTTAGGATCAGATATTGTTTGAAACAAAAGTTGATGGTGTGCGACAGACATCGGACACAGCTCACCACGAACACGTAACATTGGAGCCAAATACCATGCATTATAACATTTTTTGTAGCAAGATAAACAATACAGATGACGTGATTTTAAGGCTCAAATATTTGACACTTTTATGGAACTTGAATCTTGAAGTGGAGTGCCAAAATGTGTGTTCTGCGCGACATGTCAATGAAGCAATATATTTGACACAGACATCATTTATCAATTAATTGCTGTTTTTTTTTGTCGCACCAACCAGTTCTAAGATCTGACACAGACTTGCTTGCTGAAATTTTACACCTTTTCTTTGACTTTGACCTTGACGCTTTACACTAAATATGGCTTCTGCATGTCGTCCAATTTAATAACATATGACCTAAGTAGACATCTTAAACAATTTTTTTATATTGCGAGCACCTGGAACGGGTTTTACTCAATTAAACCGTGTAGAAGAGACCTACAATTTTTATGTAATAATGCTTTACAAAGCTTTTAGGATTAAATGTAGCATTATCTTTTTCAATATTTTAGGCTGATATTACAGAAACACAGTTGACAATTGTCACAGAACCAGAAGCAGCAATTGCATTCTACCAAATGCTGGAACATAACTCATTCAACACGATATCCAGTCCTGGGACAAAATGTATGGTTATTGGTCTTGGAGGTATGTACTTATGTTATACAGGATGGAAGAATAAAATTAATAAATGTTTTCTGTTACTTTTGTAATAAGGACAGTCTGTTTATATCAATGTCAAATTGACAACTCTAAAATTCATTATCTTAAGATATCTATTTTACATGACTTGGGTGGATAGATATTTTCTATAAATTGTTTTTCTTATTTGATAAAAAATACAAGGAGTAATAATTATATTCGGTCGTCACTTCAATATACAATTTTATGGTGCGGTGCTGCTTAATGATTCCAGCACTTTTAAGTATCGACAACTGAGTAACGCTACGGTGTGTGAAGGATGTCGCACTTTTTCAAGTAATTTTATTGTGATAAATGCTTATGAGGGATCACCCTTTTTCCAGATATTAATTAAAAAAACATGTGCACTTTTATTTAATTGAATTGATTTCTTAGGCATATTCCCTATGAAGTTAAAACGACTATTTAATGCTTTTTAAATCTGATTCTCTTCTGTAACTTCTGGATGTATATATATATGTACATATATATTTGGAGAAAATAAACGTTCATACAGTGCTAAAGTATAAATACCCAAGTACTTTCGGCGTATTATGCCTTCATCAGGGGTGTATTACATGTATAATGTGCACACAATCGAGCACAAAATCTCAATACGTGTGTACTGTATAGTATCAAAAATAGACACACATAAACATTCTATTTTATTGCTGATTAAACAGCTATAATATTCTTGCTACATTAGGATGATAAGCAAAACAAAACTGTAAAGTGGTCTCAAACAATATATTAAAACCTTTTGAAGTTGTTCACTCAGCAATGAATTAGAATGTTTATGTAATTCTGTAACATATCGTAGTGTATACACTGACTTTTAGAAGCAGCAAAATAAATCAATCACTGAAAAATCTTTCTGAATTTTCTTTCTTATTCTGGTAGATTATAATACACTTGATAAAGCCTTTATTTAGGGATTCTGTTTTCTCTATTTTATTGTCACATCCGTGTTACTTGTGCCGTGTGGCGGCTGTAAAAAGTCTCCCCGTACATTAAGACAATGATGTTATATTTTCGATCATTGAAGATCGTTCAGCACGACATTATTGTTGTGTATACATGTTATGTGGTACTTTTAGTTTCTTCTATTTGGCCATTTTCAACTTGGGTGGTTCCAGTATTCCTACTTGAATACTGTATAATCACCCTTAGGATATGTTGCCTGCATTTTAAATTTGTCTTTTGACGTCTTATCTGTGATATGCAGGCTTCATAACCTCAGATCCCCTTTCAAAATTCCATTTTATTTAGTTCCGCCCATTGTTTTCTCGTTTAGGGCAAAAGCATTCTTTTACTTGGGGACCATACGCCGCTTTTCATGGAATGGCACTACTGTGTCACATTGAAGGTTCCATGATAACCGCCGTATGAACACATCTGCGGATGTTTCTAAATTCAAAATTTCACCATTTTCGTGTTAAATGTTGAATTCTGCTTAAGCCGGTGCTAGGGGCGTGGACGGTAACTTGCACTTTCCAGTACCGTCCATGAACAGACTCAATCAAACCGAGCCTGCAACATTTTCGATTTTGTTTTGTTTGACTTTCTTTAGGGATTCTGTTTTTCTCTATTTTAACATATAAGAGGATATTGAATGAGTGTAAGTTTAATACTAAATTTATTGCACGAGTTGAATAAAATCATATTATGCGAGCCTGTGGCGAGCATAATATTATTTTATTCAACGAGTGCAATAAATTCAGTAATGAACTTACACGAATTTAATATTTAATTTATCACAAACCCAAAATAAAGACCGTTTAAAGTGAAATAAGAGTCATTTTTCATGGCTGTGTGATAAAAAAAACTTAACACAAATATTTTGCAGACGAAACTGCTGATTTCACTATATTGGAGCGTCAGTCGGACGGTGGGAATAAGGAAATCAAAGCCTCAACTTGGACAGCATGTGGTAAAAACATGGTGATAGATGAATTTCGTAAACTCATCCGTAACATAACAGGTAACGAAGCCTATCAGAAATGGATTGACGAATGTGTTTATGATCAAATTGATCTGCAAGATGAGTTTGAAACAAAAATTAGTACAATTCAAACTGGTGAAACTGGGCTCAAAGGATTCAGAGTTCCAGTTTCAATAATTGAAGCATTCGAAGAAGTAAATCATGAAAATATAGGGGAAGCTATAGAGAGATCACAATATAAAGGTAGAATTAAATGGCGTAGTAATAGATTAAGAATAGACGCAGAAATAGTACACAATCTGTTTAAACCTTGCACTGATATTATAGTAGATCATGTTCAACATTTACTGAAAGAACCTGAGGTTCAAGGAACAAACATATTTCTGATGGTCGGCAGGTTTTTCGAGTCTTCAATAGTTCGAGAGGCCATAATAAAAGCCTTCCCGACTGTTAACGTCCTCATTGCAGAAGAACCAGGCATAGTTGTTGTGAAAGGTGCAGTGATTTATGGTCATCAACATTAGAGTAAAAGTTAGACACTACTGATTTAACACACACACTGTGTTAAGATATATACCAGATAAACATTTTTTTCTAGACTTAAATACCTGATCAAAAAGAACTTTTAAAAGATTTAATATCTTTCGTTCTAATCTATTTTCACAGTTTACAGATTTAAAAGTACATCATATACCGTGAACGACACCTCTTATTTTCTAAAGAATATTTTTACGCAACAAAAAAGGAAAGGAAAAAATAAGCCCCAAATTTATTCTAATTGCACAGATGTTGCACATAAGCTGAACTTAAAAATTACAGCTAATTAAACGAGAATTGACTTCCCTTTAATTTAACTGTAGAAACAAATATTATAACTCTTATAATATTATAAATGAGCTTCTTTGATATACATTAGATAAGATATAATAATAAAATAAGATTTCCTAAAACATACAGAATGGTGTATTGTTAACATCAAAAATATTTATGTAAGAAAGAAATATATTATAACTACATATAATCATTTTCGTTGCTTTTTCAGTCAAGATTAAGTGTTCTTTAAATTTAAAGTTTGGAAATCTTATTCCTATTTAATCTCTGCTGGTAAAAAATGAAACTTTGTAAAATAATGCCATGACTTTATGTTGCTTTTGTTTGTTTTTAACATTTAAGTCAGATTTCAATGGTCCATCCGCCTAACCGACTTTGATAACTAACTTGTCATTACCAATGTATCCAGGGACGCATGATAACTCAAAAGAAGATTAAGAGTTCAAGATTATATTGTTAATATCTTATAAAAGATATGCATGTATACATTTTTGTTCAAACTATCATGTAACTTACATGAGAATTATGCTTCCTTAAATGATTATATGCATTAAAAATGAGTTTGATCTAAAGTCAACAATACTATGTTATATCGATGCTTTTTAATCTAATCTGGGACATAGATCTAATATTAGACTTGAATTATGAGTGGGTAATAATTTGCATCAAAACTAAGATAGGTGTCTTCCTACCCAAAGACATATTGCTTTGCTAATCCTTTTTCAAATTATAGCAAAGAATTTTTGGAAACCTTTGGTACTTCACTAAATTAAGTCCTAAACATTCAAAGCCGATGATTACAATATGAAAAGCTTGGGAATGTATTATGTAACTTTATCATATACCCGTGCAGATTTTGCGACTTGTAAAAATGGTATTGCATGGCCGTGGATATGTTTTGAAGTGACGTCATTTGCATTATACTAGCATAGCCGTAAGACGCACTAAATATTAGTGTTATATCATAGGTGCGTTGATGAAAAATGATTCTTTTTTACTTCAAACAGTCTTTAATTTTTGTTTGTGTTAAATAGAATATTAAATTTGTGTTAGTTCATTACTGACTTTATTGAACTCGTTTATTAAAATGATATTATGCTCACCATGCCCCGTGTTCACAAAGATTTAAGGATCAAGATCAGGATCAGGATCAAATCTAAAAACTTCAATATTCTTCATTGTTTATCCTCATAGATTAATATCCAATATTAATTTGATAAAACTGGACTTGCAATAGCAAGTTTGTGAAAATTGTAGAATAAATTATTGTTATTTTTGCAAGGTACGGGCATTTTAAAATTGATCCTTATTTTGATCAGAATATTTTTGTATTTGTTTTGTTATTTGTTAATTATATCCGAACCCAGTTTGATTTCTTTGCAAATCAGCAATCTTTTACCTCTTGAATATTTATTATTCAATTCTAGCAAAACACAATTAATTTTAGTAATGTAAAACAATGAAAATAAAATTAGGTTTTGATAATAATCACTTGATCCTGATATTTTCTTAGTGAACATATGGCCAGAAGCTCGCATAACATATTTTATTCAACGCGTTCAATAAAGTCAGTATTAAACCTTTACTCATTCAACAGCCTCTATTTATGTTTGAAGGACAGCTAAACACCCTGCCGCAGTACATTTATCAACCTTTGACCGACTTTCAACCTGTTATTTGTATTTATGTATAAAATAAAACTTATAAAAGGAACTGATTCCAAAAGTGTTTAAACGAAAACTGCATCAACATTTGTTTAATGAACAAACAGCAAACTTTCAAAGTATTCAAGAGTGTTATAGTTTTTGTATAAATGAGACCTCTCAACCAAACCAATTTTATGTTAATGCCTCCAAAAAATTTTCGGACTATTTCCAAAGCAAGACAAGGAACATCGCAATGCGATGCAACCAGGTTTTCAGCAAAATATTTCACAGAAGCTTTGTCATGCAGGGGCATTTCTTTTAAAGTGAACGCCCGCCCGCCCACCCAAAATCACAAAACCCTGATGATATGCACAAGGACTCTTGATGAGAAAGCTTCTGTGAAAGTTTGTCAAAATAGTTTGTAGGAAGAGGTGTGCAAATAAGAATTTGTTCACTTTATATTCTATATATGGAACAAAAACAATATATTTCTATATAAGGGAAAAAAATAAATGGTCATAATTACATGTAGGTCAAACATTATCAAATCTCATAACCCTGACAACATGCAGCAAGAGTTGATGACAAAGCTTCTGCGAGAGTTTTGTCAAAATCCCTAGAGAATTGTAGGAGTTGCGCACAGAATTGCGCAGAGAAGAAGTGTTCACTATATATATTCTGTATAAGGAAAAAAAACAAAGGGCCATAATTAGGTAAAACATTATCTAATCACAAAACCCCGAGAATATGTGCTATGGCACTTGATGACAAAGCTTCTGTGAAAGTTTGGTCAAAATCCGTTGAGAAATGTAGGAGAAGTTGCGCACTGTAGAAATTGTTCACTATTATATTCTGTATAAGGAAAAAATACACAAAGGGCCATAATTCGGTAAAATATTATCCAATCACAAAACCCCGACAATATGTGCCAGGCACTTGATAACAAAGCTTCTAAGAAAGTTTGGTCAAAATCCGTTGAGAAATGTAGGAGGAGTTGCTCACAGAAGAAATTGTTCACTATATATTCTCTAGAATGAAAAAAAACAAAGGGCCATATTTAGGTCCAATATATACCAATTGCAAAACCCTGACAATATGTGTCAGGGCACTTGATGACAAAGCTATTGAGAAAGTTTGGTCAAAATCCGTTGAGAAATGTAGGAGGAGTTGCGCACAGAAGAAATTGTTCACTATATATTCTATATAAGGAAAAAAACAAAGGGCCATAATTAGGTCAAATATTATCTTATCGCAAAACCCCGACAATATGCGCCAGGGCACTTGATGACAAAGCTTCTGTGAAAGTTTGGTCAAAATCCGTTGAGAAATGTAGGAGGAGTTACGCACAGAAGAAATTGTTTACTATCCTATATAAGGAAAAAAACAAAGGGCCATAATCAGGTCAAATATTATCTAATCGCAAAACCCCGACAATATGCGCCAGGGCACTTGACCACAAAGCTTCTGTGAAAGTTTGGTTAAAATCTGTTGAGAAATGTAGGAGGAGTTGCGCACAGAAGAAATTGTTTACGACGGCCCGCCCGCCCATCCGCCCGCCGACATACCTCAATCTAATAACCAGTTTTTTCCTTCGGAAAACCTGGTTAAAAAACCCAACAGACAGATGGCTATTTAGTAAACTGTGTCCTACTTACAATTTATTATATGATACAACTCGTTATGGCATTCATTGGAAAGATAATTACAAATTGCATAAAGTTTCAATAAAGCATTTATTTTTTAGTTCAGCTATACATCAGCTATTATTCCTTTTCTTATAATAACATGTCTACAGTTTACTAATTTTTACAGTTCTAAGTACTTACAAATTTATCAATATGTTGAAAGGTAATAATTGATAAACACGCTTTATACCACACGATAATCGTACATTTTAAGTCCTGCATGTCATCTTTCCTGTCTGAAAAGTCCCTTATCTGCAAGCTAGTTGCCTAATACATGTACAATGTATTTATATTTTGATATTCATGTCTAAAAAGCCCCTTAACTGCAAGCTAACTGCCTAATACATGTACAATGTATTTATTCTTTGATATTTAATTCACTTAAGGACAGATAAATCGGAATTAACTAAAGACAGAATAGAACATGGCAATATATATAATCAGAAGTAAATGAAGTTCACGATTTCTTGTCTTTTTCTAATTCTTTAATTTGGGCAGCTTTACCTGCTGCAGCTGCTGCTAGAATTTGTTGACTTGTTGTGATAGATGTCCCTGAGGAACCAAGAATAACATTTGCTGGACTCCCAGGGGTAACACCTGTTATAGACGACCCAACTGTTGTAAATATGACATTAGCAGGGCTTCCAGAGTTTGAACCCGTGACAAGTTTACTCAGTGTTTGTCTAAGGGCTGCATCACTTTGCACAGCAATTGTCTGTCCTGTAGGACCAACTGTTTGGATAAGCTGACCTTGTGTTGAGAATCCCTGAACTCCTCCGGCAAGCTTCACAGATCCAGGATTAATTATTCGAGCAAATACAGGCTTCCCTTGCTGTGGTGTTTTTCCCTGTGGTCTAGAATTCTGAACAATATGACCAGGAGGTAGCACTTGCCCTTGCTGCAGAGCTGGCTGGGAAATTAAGATTGTAGCTTGACCTGCCTTAAGTCCAGCTTGTTGTGAAAGAACTGTTCTAACCATTTGAAGATTAGGACTTTGTGGGGTACCCACTGCACCTGAAACTGGAAAATGAGTGATTCTTTACTCTTTTATCCTTATTTTATCAACTAGAAATCTCAGTAGAGTTACAGTGCTAAGCTATTGTATCTGAACACACTGGTATGTATTATTTCAAATTTAGCATAAACATGGAAATTTGTCACTTTTATACAAAAGATTTGTTACATTGAGACTTTTATACAAGAGATTTAGAGGACCAGCTTGGTCCACTATTTTCAGAACAGAACAGAAAATTGCAAATATAGAGATAATAGGAATTAATGGTCCCAATGACCTAGACCTTTGACCTTTTCACCCAAATATAGGACTCATCAAGATGCACCCACATACCCTGTTTAAATGTAAACTTATATTCAACTTGAAGCAACCGACAATAAGCAAAAACATTTTAACTAGAACTCCGCGAGTCAGATGTGTCGCCTTGTGAACAATATACTAGTAGTTTAGGAGAAATGGCCAGGACAAAAATGAAATATGAAAATTAACAAAGGGCAATAACTCAAAAAATAATAGGTGCGGAGCAGCAGTTTCTGTGCACTGCACTTCTTATCAAAAAGATCTATCATTCTATGAAGTTTCAAGTCCATATCTTTTATTATTTATGAGAAATGACCTGGACAAAAATAAAGTATGAAAATTAATAAAGGGCAATAACTCAAAAGTAAGAAATGCAGAGTACCGGTTCTTGTACACTGCACTTTTTCTTAATGAGATTTATCATCCTATAAAGTTTCATGTCCATAGCTTTCATACTTGAGTAGAAATGACCTGGACAAAAATAAAGTATGAAAATTAACAAAGGGGATATTACTCAAAAAATAAGAAATGCAGAGTACCGGTTTGTGCACTGCACTTCTTTTTAATGAGATCTATCATCCTATGAAGTTTCAAGTCCATAGCTTCAATACTTTCGGAGAAATGGCCCGGACAAAAATAAAGTATGAAAATTATCAAAGGGCAATAATTCAAAAAATAAGAAATGCTGAGTGCCAGTTATTGTGCATTGCACTTCTTCTTAATGAGATCTATCATCCTATGAAGTTTCAAGTCCATAGCTTTTATAGTTAAAGAGAAATGGCCCGGACAAAATTAAAGAATGAAAATTTACAAAGGGCAATAACTCAAAAATTAAGAAGTGCAGAGTACCGGTCCTTGTGCACTGCACTTCGGGTTATTGAAAGAAGCATGCATACCAAGTTTAAAGTCAATCCGACTTATAGTGACTGAGTTATGCTCCGGACAAGTTTTAGGGGACCCCTATATGTCGCCTTTACAAAAAGTAAAAACATAGGTCATTTTGACTAAACACAAGTATGTTCATAGGACTCATTAAGATGCATCTACATAACAAGTACTTAGATTTTAGATCATTGCATTTCAATGAAGGCCAGTTTTATTATTTTAGGTCCCAGTAGTTTTGACATTTGACATTTTAACCTGAAAATGGGTGTGGCAGGTAGATATCATTAAAGTGCATATACATAGAAAGTATGAAACTCCTAGATCAATGTGCTTTAATGACCAGTTTTGTGGGGTTTTCTTATGTCTCAGAGAGCCTGACCGTTGACTTGAAAATGTGCCTGGCAGATAGAACACATCACGGTGCATCTACATATTAAGTTTCAATGTAATAGCTTTTGTTAGTATTAAAGTTAAAAAGTGTAAATGAAAACTGACTTTATATCCCTGTATAATTATAATTATATTTCAATGTAAATGCATTTGCATTGTACATCATTGTATAATACTTACACCTACCTACAGTATCTGTTGTGGATTGAGTCTCTACATTTTTCAGACCACCAGGCTGCTGTAAAATAAGCTGTGCAGGAACAAGTCCTGCCTGTCCATGTGTAAGTACTTTACCATGGCTTTTAGTGGCTGAAAATTGGAATATAAATAATGTTTACTCAGAAAAGTGATACAAAATAAAACTAGAAATGTGTCCATAGGACACGGGTGCCCCCACCGCGCCACTGTTCTGTCAATCTTTTTACTAAGTCAAGGGAAATAAATATACAAATACTGGATAAATCCACAAGCGAAACCCCAGGTGCAAATCTAAAATATGCTGAGCAACCTGCCCATAAGGTTTAATAACTATGTCAAATCCTTTTTGAGAAACTAAGTGAAGGGCAATTACTCTAAAAATACTTAATAAATCCAAACGGAAATACCTGGTGCACAACTGCACATGCTGATCAATATTCCTGTAAAGTTTCATGACTCTAGGTCAAATACTTTTTGAGTTACGAGCGACACATGTTGAAAATTGCCAAATTTTACAAACTCAAGGGCAATAACTCTGGAAATACTAAAAATATCCAGACGAAAATACCCAGGTGCACAACTACACATGCTGATCAACATTCCTGTAAAGTTTCATGACTCTAGGTCAAATACTTTTTGAGTTACGTAGGTCAAATACTTTTTGAGTTACGTGCGACACAAGTTGAAAATTGCAAAATTTTACTAAGTCAAGGGCAATAACTCTGAAAATACTAAGAATATCCACACGAAAATACCCAGGTGCACAACTACACATGCTGATCAACATTCCTGTAAAGTTTCATGACTCTAGGTTAAATTCTTTTTGAGTTACGTGCGACACAAGTCGAAAATTGCAAAATTTTACTAAATCAAGGGCAATAACTCTGAAAATACTAAAAATATCCAGACGAAAATACCCAGGTGCACAACTACACATGCTGATCAACATGCCTGTAAAGTTTCATGACTCTAGGTCAAATACTTTTTGAGTTATGTGCGACACAAGTTGAAAATTGCAAAATTTTACTAAGTCAAGGGCAATAACTCTGAAAATACTAAAAATATCCAGACGAAAATACCCAGGTGCACAACTACACATGCTGATCAACATTCCTGTAAAGTTTCATGACTCTAGGTCAAATACTTTTTGAGTTACATGCGACACAAGTTGAAAATTGCAAAATTTAACTAAGTCAAGGGCAATAACTCTGAAAATACTAAAAATATCCAGATAAAAATACCCAGGTGCACAACTACACAAGCTGATCAACATTCCTGTAAAGTTTCATGACTCTAGGTCAAATACTTTTTGAGTTACGTGCGACACAAAAGTGAACGGACGGACAAACGGACGGAAGGATGGAAGGACGGACGGACAAGGGTAAATCTAAATGCCCACCACTAACGTGGGGGCACAATGAAATAAATAGCAAAGATCTTTTAATCACTTATATATTTATGTAATGAATTTGTTCTACTTTATATTATGAGCTACCTGTTAATACACTTTGATATTTTGAATAGAAAATGATAACATTAAGGTATTAGGACCCTAATGGGGGCACAATGAAATAAATAGCAAAGATCTTTTAATCACTTATATATTTATGTAATGAATTTGTTCTACTTTATATTATGAGCTACCTGTTAATACACTTTGATATTTTGAATAGAAAATGATAACATTAAGGTATTAGGACCCTAATGGGCACTATTAGGAACTAAAGAATTGACATCATAGGTCAGATGTATACCTTAAAGTACACCTGTATGCAAAATTTAAACAAAGTTTACCGTACGGAAATCAAGTTATGGCCACTTTTCTGAACTCAAGCTAGGTTGTTATGAGGGCCTTTTTTTAGAAATGAGGAAACCTTTAAATATCTGCAATAACATTCTAATGAAAAAATGTTTCCCATGAATGTTTTTGGTAAGAAACAAATAGTACCATTCAGCTAACAATCCACATAAGCAAAAAATTATGGTTTCTACTTAAAATTTAGGATGAAATCTGTAATAAAAATGTTACCCTATGCCCGTGCCCACCCATTTTTACCACATGTCTGACCATTTTTCTAGCTTAGGTGAGCCTAATTCGAATGAAAAGTTTCTTAAAATTTACCCCAAATGAGTGCCTGTTTTCAAAGTTTCCCTAAAACTTTTAAAGAAGTAATATTGGTTGATCTTGTAAAAATATGAAAATACTTTTACCGTCTAGTTTTGATTATATTACACTTTGAAAATATCAGGTACCATATTTATTACTAGATTTAGCATACTTGTAGCCAAAATAAATAGACCTATATAGAAAATTACTAAAATTCAAAAATTAAACCACTTTTTTCTTTCCATATGGGACATGAGAGAGTACATAAATAAGTGTTAAAAGAAAAAAAAGAAAAGACAAAAAAAGTTGACCGCTTCTGGGGATTGAACCCGATGGCCCTCAGTTTGTCAATGTAGTTAACAGTAATGCTTAGCCTATTTGAATACTCTTCAGTTAGGAGGGTTAATGCAGTGTAGGGTGCTGCAGAATACCGCTTTAAGTAGCCAATCTACAGTTAATTGGTGGAAAATAATGAGTGGTCGGCTGTCTTTTGATATCCCTCCTAACAAATATTACAATGTCTATCATATGAATCAAGTTTTTCACTGACATCATAAAAGACAAGATGGATACAACTGCATGTGGTGTTAAAGGGCAATCATTATACGAATAACCAACTTTTATAAAATCAGTAAACTTTAAAAAGAGAGGGCACAACTTCTGAAAAGTATTGCTTCCAGGGTATGTTCCCTTGTCTCTTATAACTGATATTTCAAGTATTAATGTTTCATGTTTGATACTTGTTTAAAAGTTTTGAATTCATTTTGCTGATACTAAGAAATTTTGAACAAATTCTAAAAATTAAAAAGGGTCTTCACGTCCCAAAATATAAGCTTTCAGAATAAGTGCCCTTTGTCATTCAAGATGTGCCTTGCATGGAGATATTAGCAAGATTATTGTTGATATCTGTTAAAACTCGTTTGAAATGTACTCTAATAAAACAGGGATTTTTGATCACAAAAATTCGTCTGTTTAATACAGGGGCATAGACTCAGACAAAACAAGTCTAAGGTTAAAAGTGGATCATGAAATGCCAAATATGAACAACGGCCATTTTTCACAATATGCTCATTGAGGGAAAAGGGTTAATAGGCCAATGTTAATAAGGGTCCAATTAAAACAAGAGCTGTCCGTAAAGACAGCGCGCTCGACTTTTTTTAGTGCTTGCCGTATAATACAAACATTGACAGTTAAGGGCCATAAATTCAAATAAATCTTTGACAGAATTACCTTCTCCTGGACATGTTTGGGAATCAATGATTGTAAACAAGTATTCCAACTTTCAAATTAATATCTCAAACAGTTCAGTCGAAAAAGTGGACTGGTACTGAAAAACTTAAACCACAGATTCTAAGTCGAATAAAAAGGCCTTAATTTTTAAAAACAAATCCTTGACAGAGTTACCTTCTCTTGCGTACAGATAGGGGGTAATGATGATGTGAAATAGCATTAAAAGTTTCAAAGCAATATCTCAAGGGTTAAGGGGCAATAAGTGGATTTTACCCATATTCAATGTATTTTCTAAGTCAAAAAGGGGCATAATTCTGTCAAAAACCTTGACAGAGTTATGTCCTCTTGTCTGTTGATGAAGGTCGCCTGATGGTAAACAAGTATGGTCAGTTTCAAAGCAATACCTCCAATGGTTTTGAAATAAAGTGGAGGTGGTACAAAAAACTTAACCAAGATTCTAAGTCGAGTAAAAGGCCTTAATTTTTAAAACAAATCCTTGACAGAGTTACCTTCTCTTGCGTACAGATGGGGGTAATGATGTGAAATAGGGTGCACGGGGCTTAAAAGTTTCAAAGCAAATCTCAAAGGGTTGAAGTGCAATAAGTGGATTTACCCATATTCAATGTATTTTTCTAGTCAAAAAGGGGCATAATTTTCTGTCAAAAACCTTGACAGAGTTATGTCCTCTTGTCTGTTGATGAAGGTCGTGATGGGTAAAACAAGTATGGGTCAGTTTCAAAGCAATACCTCCAATGGTTTTGAAAATAAAGTGAGGTGGTACAAAAAACTTAACCAAGCTCAATACACTTTCTAAGTCAAAAAAGGGCCATAATTCTGTCAAAAAACCTTGACAGAGTTATGTACTCTTGTCTGTAGATAGGAGGTTATGATGGTGAACAAGTATGGTAAGTTTCAAAGCCATACTTGCTTAATACTTCTGAAATAAAGTGGGGTGGTAAACGAAAAACTTTAACCAAGGGTGTGACGCCAACGCTAACGCTAACGCTAACGCCGACGCCGGGGCGAGTAGGATAGCTCCCCTGTTTCATAAAAAGTCGAGCTAAAAAGGGAAAAATGCCAAGTTTAAAAAGGGCCATAACTTCAAAAATATACTTCAGAAAATAAAGCCCCCTTGTTCTTACAACTTTTTCTAGTCATGATTAGCAAGCATTCCTAGTTTCATACTGATATAACTCTATAAATTGTTTGAGTAATGGCCTACAATAAAGTTTTTGTATGACATTACATTGATCACAACGCTGCAGCAATCATAACAGCTTGACTTTTACTTCGAAAAAGACGAGAAAACAATGAGTAGTCCCGTCCACAGTGAAAATTTAATAATGATCATGACAGTAAAAGTTGTGTACCATACCTGTAGGTCTTAGAGTGATACTTCCACCAGACGTAAGCTGTGTCACCATTACCCCACCAGGATTAGTTGCTTTTGACTGGCTGAGCACTTGCCCTAATGCTCCATGGGAAACAGCTGATTGGCTGAGCACTTGTCCTAATGCACCCTGCGAAACAGCTGATTGGCTGAGTACTTGTCCTAATGCACCCTGCGAAACAGCTGATTGGCTGAGCACTTGTCCTAATGCACCTTGTGAAACAGCTGATTGGCTGAGCACTTGTCCTAACGCACCCTGCGAAACAGCTGATTGGACTGAGCACTTGTGCCTACATGCATCCTTGTGAACAGGCTGATTGGCTGATAGCTCGTCACAGTAGCAGGTGAACCAGTACTGACTACTTTGCTGCTACTGCCTAGACAAAACATAAAGTTAATGTGAACATCAACAGTAATCTGCCAATAATTTACCTTTTGGGCTGATGCCATTTTAATTATTTTTTTGTTTGGGTTTTTTACGTCAGCAGGACATCAGTAATAGGTCATTCGCGACGTTCCATGCTTTACTAGGTGGTAGGGAGAGCCCTCAGGCTGCCTCTACCGTGCTACTATTTCAGGCACAAACGCGGACAGCCGGAGTAAAGCCACCGATGTTCCGTAGCTAGTCTGGATGGCTGATTTCTTTTTAGAAAAGTTAATATGAAACTGTATTTACCTGAAGAGAAGAATAGGCAAGGCAGATAATGGCGTTCTCGCTGTGCACAATTAAACCAAGTCAATAAAATTAATAAACAATGCGTACGTTTTTACACATTGAGAGTGTAAAAGTTATTTTTAAGAGTTAGGATTTATCCATAATTAATATACCCTTCCAATTCTTTGCAGAACAAATGGAGACCAAAATGATCAATTTGATTGAGAATTATACACTGGAATTGCCAATAAAACTGATGTCGTCGCGAAGCTGGTATCGACAATTTGACACACTTTCAAACTCTTACACAGTTTTTAATTCGAGGATTTTGTCATATGGGTATCTATCATGACTGTTCGCTAAGGCCAGCTCTCACTGAGGTCTATAAGACTAAACATAAATATTGAATTTCGTAGATAGATGACATGCAGCTTTATCGGCATTAAACGGGGTCTCACTAAAAAGCGTCCCGAAGGATTTTAGCGTCCCGAAGCGTCCTGAAGCGTCCCGAAGCATTATTGTTAATTTAAACAGCCAGAAGGGTTATATTTATTGTAAATGAGCAGGCGGATATACAAAAGACAATAAAAATATATGTTAAAAACCATATGGTGGACTATTTATTCTAAATAAGTATTGTAACACTTGTCAATTTTTGGTCATTTGATATGATTAGAATAATTATTCCATCAAACAGTCTTCAATTATCTTTTGTATATCTGACTGTTTTAAGTGCTGGTCTATGTAACAAATTCAAATTTTATGTTTTTAGTCTTTTGGACCTAAGTTGAGTGCCTTTAAAAAATTGAGTGAGTGAATGAACTGAAATTTTGCACACAAGTAATTGGTCTTGGCCTACATCAAACGTAACATTAATCTTGAAAAATTATTTCCAGTCCTGTCATTTCAAAAAACCTTGGTGGAGTCCCTTTAAGGTGAAATAAGATCATACGGGCTGGTAAAACTAACTTCAAACGTGTAAATGGTTAAGATTCAGTAAAAATATATATTTTTCTTTTTTGCTTCAGTCAAAAGTATACAAACCAGGTTGCTTAGACTGTGATATAGTGACCACACCTCCCTGGGCAGCTCCTTGAGGAATAATATTAATAGTTCCCTGTGGTGTCTGTATCACTCCTAGTGCTTGCTGACCTTTTACCTGCAAGCTGTAAGATTTGACCTTTAGCATGAGCCTAATGGTTTTCTTGTAACTGGACAGGTTTGCCCGGTGATACTTGTTGCAAAACGTTTCCACCTGAAAAATACATGCCAAATTTAGCAAAAGAAAACAAAACAGTGGTCATTCACTTGAGATCCATTGCTAGAAGAGGTCATAACTCTTCAATGCCATTCATAGAATTACAATTTGTCTCTGGGCATTACAGTCTCTGAAGAAAACTTTTATTTCAAGACAGTAGTCTAGCCTGACCAAGAGATCGTTCCCATGAAGTTTGGTCAAAATCTACCATGCGGTTAAGGATATGTTGTTTAAAGGAATTTTATTTAAAATGAAGCACACTTGTCATCATGCTATCACAAAACTACTCCTATTTTCACACATCATGCACCATTGAGAAAAAAAGGAATTATTCTACTATGAACATACATAACAAAATTATGTACTCTTTCTTACAAGAGGAAGAAGTGGTCATTGGCAAGTGTGTAATGTTTTTAAGCAATTTGTCAATGAGGTCAGTAAAAAAGGTGCAATAGTGATAAGGAGATCTGTACAAGTAGAACATCTTCTCATTATAGTCATGTACAAAAAAAACCCCTTCCTGACAGCATGTCTATATCAGTGAAGCATTATTATCAAGTTAAGTATCATGATCAATTCTACTAAGTAGGCAAGTTATAAATATTGAATGTGAGAGACAATAAAAATAAGCATGCACACACAAAAACCTTCAGCATAATTTATATGACAAATAAATTTCAATCAGTGATTAATTGCCCATTATTACCCATTATTCATCCATATTTAATATTTACATATTTATACAAATATAACAATCTTTTCCTTATTGGTAAACATATTTTATAATGAGACGTGTAAACAGCTGTTGCTTGACTTGTTTGAGTGTATTTTATTTTAAACCATCTATTTTATGTATGTTTGTCGGGTAAGGGGAAGAAAGTAAAGGAAGGGATAATGGGATTACATATTAGTCAGACTGAAACGGTTAGAGTAAAATCATTGCAACGTTTCATGTACCTTGAATTTTAAAGGCAGCAGTCCCTCTTGGCTGGTTTCCTTGTTGAAGTGATCTCTGAGCAGCAAGCAGACTGCTAACTGACACCATTTGACCTCCAGCTAGAAACAGAACACAAACATATTATCAATCATACACTTAACCTTAAAATACTAGAAAGAAAAGTAGCATTACTCCAATAAAAAATGGTTTCAGACTAGTGTCCCTTCTTTGACAACTACCTCTTGCCACTACATGAATTATAAAGTGATATGAAGTGTCCATGCTGTTCGCTATCAGTTTCTCTACTTGTTAAAGGGTTTGTAAGCGAACAGCATGGATCCTGATCAGACTGCACGGATGCGCAGGCTGGTCTGGATCCATGCTGGTCGCAAACCCACTATGTTGGTTTTGTCGTGATGTGGCTTACATGAATTATAAAGTGATATGAAGTGTGTTTGTATTGATGTCATTAAAAGTGTAATGAGTCATTGGCTACATTAAAGTTTTTGCACAACAACAATGACATCCACCGCCCAGTGATCAAAATACCTCAAATTTTTCTTCAAAAACAGACAAGCTAATACTAAATGTTTATATTTGACAAACACTTTTTCTTGAAAAAAAAGAACACCTTAGCTCATCATTAATTAAGATATTCTCACCTCAGTGCAGTAACAGGATAACTCTTGCTAAATTAAATAGGAGTTAACCTGCAACTGCACTAAGGTGACAAATTATGGTGCTAGTTATCTTATGTGTCAAGAAGGCAACAAACCTAGATGGTCTTTATGGTGAAACCGTTACATCCAATGGAAATACATGAATACATCGTAAATAAATCATGTAAAAATATTGGACAAAATTACAATGTACTTTCGTTTACAGTAATGAATGCCTTCTTAAATGTATGTGAAAATGACTTAAAACTAGATGCGATTAAGCTGTCTTTCCTTTATGGTGGAAAACTAACTTTGGGCATGTCAAAATAAAACATTATTTTGAAATAGGAATGTCGAATATACATGTATTCAATGTTATGTGTTCAATCAAGAACATATAACAATCAATTTTCGGCAAATTAAGAACAGAATAATGAACAATTACAAGCAAGAATGGTATAGCAATATTAGAAAATCTATTAGGCTGTGTCACCATACAGTACCTATAAACGCTCTTTCGAAAGTAAAGAATATCTTAATAAAGTAAATATTAACAAATTTCGAATATCACCCAAATTTAGATTGTCATCTCATAATCTAGCAATAGAAACTGGGTCTTATGAAAACGTAGCACAAGAAAACAGACTCTGTATGAATTGCAATTTAAACATGGTAAAAATTGAATTTTACTGTTTGCATGTTTGTACAAAATACTATAGTCAAGTTGCATATACTTAAAACCATTCTATTGTCACTGGCCATCAATTCATATTTTTTTGTTTGTTTTGGGTTTTAAGTCACATCGACACAGTATAGGTCATATCGCGACGTTCCAGCTTTACTGGTGGAGGAAGACCTCAGGTGCCCTTCCGTGCATTATTTCAGGCACGAACGAGCACCTGAGTAGAACCACCGACGTTCCGTAAGCTAGCTGGATAGCTTCCTCACATGAAAGAATCCAAAGTCCCTGTCGGGACTCGAACCCACAGCGGTGAGGGGCAAGTGGTTTGAAGTCAACGACCTTAACCACTCGGCCACGGACGCCCCCCATCAATTCATAAATTTGAAAAACAAACATGCAAATGTTGAGTACTTTGTCAAAATTTTTGTATTTTTTTCATTTAAAGAAAGAATGAACAACAGATAGTATCTTCAACTTATTCACATTTTGCAGCACCATGAACTTTCTCTGTAAAACATTTTAACTTTCGATACTAACCTGACATTTGCTACATCAGTGTAGCTACATATTTTGACCTACCGGGTACTAACCTGACAATTTGCTGCATCAATCTAGCTACAAGGGGGTTTGTACCACCGTTGCATTGAGCTGATCACTGTTACTGGGCTACCAACACTTGGACTTGGCTGCCATGGTAACCATGCTTACTTGCGTACGTGATGAACTGAACTGCTGGTGAACTATCATCAGTGTTTCCAGTAGATGTGTCTGCCGAAATGGCCTACAAAATATGAAGGTATTTGTCACTTTTTCCTCCTTTTTTTAAAGTATCAAAGTACTTTTTTCTTGTAATTATTGAAGATATCACAGGTTTTAGTTTATAGTACTATTTGTTTCTAAGGATGTATAATCTATGTATTATTAACTCAATAAAAAAAAGATGCTGAAACATTGGCACATATATACTTTTGTACTGAAGCATCAAACTCATTCAATTAACTCCAGTTTACAAACACAAATAAATGAAACACATTAACACATAAAGCCAAAAACTCAATTTCTTGACACAGGTGTTATAGGTTGGGTTTATACAAATTGAGATAGTTATGGGCCATGCTGAATTTCTTAATCAAACAAAATGTCTTAGAGTAATGAAAACAAAAAAGTATTAAGCATGAAGTCCATTTTACTGAATCTATGACAAAGACAATAATTTGTGGAACTTTTTTTAAATCCCATGACTTACGCAAGTTTCTATC